GAGGCAGAAACAAGAAAAAAATAGCTGTGAGGTAACATAGTGTTTGTCCAGGACTTCTGGAGCCTGCTCAGTTCTGTCTCTCACCGAACGTGGTAAATAGCCTGTTTTAACACACTGTTCAGACACTTAGACACAGCACAGCAACAAACCAAATCAAGAGTGAATTAATGGCTCCTCAGGGACACTGCAGAGTAACAGGGGAGGCGTTTTGGAGAGCCACATCCACTAATTAACCGTTCTGAGCAGGGTCCAGGAGTCTAGCACCAGTTTGCAGATCTACAATATGCAGTGGGTGGAATTAGATGACGAAACGTAGCCTGTCTTGTTTTCATGCTATTGTTTACTGTTGCCATAGGGAGCTAGTGACACTTTATTAGGCTGAATATGTCAGACACAGCCCTAAAATATGCAAACTTTCAAAATAAACCCCATTAATATTTGCATCTTGAGACGTCTGCTGTGCAGTTGTGAGTGTGTTTGTTCACTTGTCATGTATCTAAAACTTGAAGAGAACACGCCACCTACCGCACACACTCTCATCTGCTCCTCGCTCTTCTTCCATCTACAGTGGGCCTGGCAATCCTGCAGCTGAGCTGGTAAAAGGGATAATGCAGGAGCACTTCAGAGGGCAGTTGTTCATTGCCCTCTTGCTTGGCATGCGCGGCCATGCTGAAGCCACGCCTAACTGGAAGCGCAGCTCCAAGGCCTTTACTGACATAAATCTGCACAACAAAGCAACTGATGCTTATTTAGTTTACCGGCTTTAGCTGCTGAGCCTGAAGTGATGAGGCCTCAGAAAGTAAACGAGAATGAATATGTTGTATGTATCCCCAACCCCCTACTCTCTGCTTGAAAACTTGACTGTTTCGTTGTCAGAGGCCCTCCATCTTGTCAGAATGAAGTGAACTAATGGGGTTTGGCTGAACAGACTGAGCTCAGAGGCTATCTGTTCCCACTGGAAGGCCAGCAAGACAAAAGAAAGTAAAAAAGAAAGGAACGGTTCTTCTCTTCAGTGGCTACAATATTTCAGTTTGTCCAGGCCTTCTGGAGCCTGCCCAGTTCTCTCTACCAACAAACGTGGTAAATAGCCTGTTTTAACGCACTGTTCAGACACTGAGACTTAGCACAACAACAAACTAAATCAAGAGTGAATCAAAGGCTTTTGGCTCAGATAAATCCTTGCAGAAATCAAAAGAAATGGTTTGGTTTATAGCACAGCACTATAGTGGCCCCATTGCTTTTGCTTCCATTTTATATTTACTGTATGTTATTTACATATGTACTTGTTAAAAGAAAGCCTGTCAATAAGGCATCCTCTTTAGCCTTAGTGTTCCGTAAATCCTTTGGTTTTTAGCAGTATGGTACTGTAGCCAGCAATGTCAGTAAATGGCTGGATGGTCAGTTCACCACTTTGATCCAGACTGAAATATCTACTGTCAGGATGAACTGTGCTCGCTGGTGATCACTCCACTGTTATCAGCGCCCTTAGGTAAACATTTCAATTTGTCTAGTTCTTTGATTTATGACTACATATCAGCAATGACATTATCATCAGCCTTAGCACGTTAACACTGCTCATGTTAACTTTTAACTCGAAGCGCTGCTAGGCCTAGTTACAGCCTCTCAGAGCCGCTAGCATGGCTGTAGGCTCTTTGTCTTCTTACTGTATATTTGTATTTTTTTTATATCTCTGTGGCCTTTTACCTTGCCATGACTGTATCTAATATGATTAACTGCTGAATCTGGTCATAAGTGTTAATATATTGCAGCATTACCCCAAAGACCCGTATGCCAATAAACCACTCGCTAGTCAGGAGTCTAATTAGTCCAACAAAAGCAAATTAACTTTCTTTTATATTCAAAGGCTATCAGCCACTTATATGGCCACATGAAACAACCCATTTGTTGACTGTGATAAGAGATGATGTAGAATATAATTTTTAAAAATCCTACCGTGGAAATGTTACATTTCACAACCGCACAGACTGAAGGCTTTTAGAATAGACAGGGTCTACATGTAAAAGTATCACCTATGGCATCCCTCGCTGCCATAGCTGATGCAAGGTAACACAGCAGGGTTATTCAGAGGAGCTTTGCTAGGCCAGGTTGTGACAGTTGTGTTCCACTCCATAAACTTGGAGATATTTTATAACAAAAATGACCAATGTGAGGTGCCAAGGCCGGTCTGTCGAACAAACCTTCCAGCAGCCCCGGGCGATGCCAACCTTGGCCAGGAAGAGGTGGAGATGGTCCGGGGACAGGGCCTTGCCACTCCTCAGCAGTCGCATGCAAGCTGGGGAGCACAGACTGCAGTTTCCATTGGGATAGTGTGGATGGCGGCGTAATTGGCCATATCCAGTGATAGATGGCTTTTCAACCTTTGTTACTCATTGGTGGCAGGATGCACAGAGGGTTGTCTCACAATGTGAGGTTGCAGACTATTAAACACCAGTCTCAGGAGGAAACGATACTCGTTGGAATGCTGGAGCTTAAAAGAATCTGAAGAATGATCTAATTTAAAAATGTATACATGTTCACTGATTGCCCATTATATTTCTGAGGCAGCAAACGATTAAAAATCTGATCACGCTTAATTCATCATTTTCATCCACAGAGATGGGTAAAGAGCTACTCAGTACAATTGTTAGAAATGATAACCTTTTGTCTCTGTGCAACAGAAATCAGAGTTCTAAATTATAGCGTTTATTTATTGCAAGTAATTTATTGTGTCAAGCTAATTTCCCTTGTTGTATATTATCAATCACATAATTATGAAGAACTGAAAGTAATAACATCATATACGTTTTTTTATTCTTATGGCCAATTTCCATTGTCACTGATGTTGTTTTTATTGACCTGAACTTCAGCTCGCTTTCTTTCTGACAACAAAGAAAGAAGGTTTTCTCCTCATGATGAAGATTCAGATCACATCACATCTGAATTCACCAAGGGTTCATGATATGATACATAGTTCCTGCCTGTTGCCCGGGGTATCTACTTTGTTTTGTGAACATATACAGTCCTCTCCTGAAAAATCAATGGCTTGCATGATTGATGTGCTTAATGTTAAGGAAGAGGGAGCTGCCATACATCAGGTTTTCTCACAGCCTGCCTGTTTTTGTTCAATAATCCCGTTACAGGGTAAAGATTCTGATGCAGGGAAACAAATATCTTCAGTGAGGATTTGCAAAATTCAGGAATAGAAACAGTCAAAGACAAAGAGAGTGATGAGTTGATGGATGGATGTAACGAAATGGAAGCAGAAATTAAATTAACTTCCCTCAAGGAGGTTTTCAGTAGAGGAGGTACTAAATTTAACAAATTAATAAATAAACGGTGCCTTTTGTCAAGGCCTTTTGATGCCCCCTGACAATTGAGAGTAGCTGGAGAAACTAGTGATGCTCGTTAACTCTGACCCAAATCATAAGAGAAACTGGGAGCTGTTAAAACATGGAACAGATTGGGGAGTCTAGGTGACCTAGATAGCATTGGTTTTGAAAAGCAGCCGTACATCACATTGAATCGCTCTTCTGTCTAATACTTTGTGGCATATCTCCCTTGTTGTTAATGAAAATTACATTCTGATAAGGTTCCTTGTGACATGGACAGTACCTCCTCTGTCACTGACATTCCAAGACTCTGCTTATGAGGAGGTTTGAATTGCCCTTTTGCCTGGGTGACATTATGTGTCTTATATGTACGCATGAAGGGTGACACATGGTCTAGACAGCCATGCACAAGGAGAACCTGTGATGATGAGACATCGGCAATGACCTGTTGTTCACAGAAATGAACTGTGTCCTAAGATCACAGCTCATTTTTGAATAATGGGAAATTGAATGACTTGTATGCAGGAGGACGGGGTCAGTATTGTATAGCTCTAGGAACACCATGTTGCGGATCAATTAAACAATGCAGACAATAAAGACTTTTATCTATTATAAAAGAGGCTGGCTGTCACACCAGCATGCTGCTGGTGCATACAGTACATTAGCTAGTTACAGCTAATGTTAGAACAGCTGGCACTTTGACTCTCAAGGGCAAATATATGGAATTCGCAGTTACCTTGGGTCAGTGGTACTCTGGGTCCACCTTGCGCCAGCGTGCTTGGACTGAGGGGCAGGAATATTTGCTTGCAAATCTAGTTAAATCTGTTTTTGTTTTTGTTTTTCAACAGATACAGCTTCAAGATTTTTTTTACAAACATGGCAATTTGTTGGCATAATGTCAGACACTGTACTGGTACTGTATTAAAGTAAGCAAACTGTAAAATTAAAAAAAAGAAAAAAATTTAAAATGACACTCGGTTCACACTCACTCTCACCACACAATTGCAATGTCACAAAATGTCACACAGGATAATGTGTGCCCAGTGCTTGATGTGCAGCAGCTCTTTCCCAGCCAGGAAAAGCCCTTTTTCTGCAACAATGGCCATCACCATGCCAACAGAAGCAGTGCCGGCCATGGTGCCAGCTTGATATGGCCCTTGTATTAGCAATGGATGACTCAAAGGAATTAAAGCACAATGTGGGGGAGTTCCAGTATATAGACAGTTGTGCCAGGATTCCCTCCACAGATTGCTTTAAAACTCCTGTCATTCATCGCTCTCTGCTACTTCCCCTCCACTCGTGCTGCTGGTCTCAGCTGGGAGATCTAGCAGTCTGTCTTCTGAAAATTTGCTTTGCATGCACAGACGCATCAGTCATGCTTTAATGTTTTATATTTACTCACAAGCAGTACATAAAAAGAATGTGAAGTATTTCACCACAGGTCTCCTTCAAGGGTGGGTGAAGAACAGCGAGCGTTTGCTGTACTCTCATTATGGTTTGATGATCCAGAAGAGATAATAACAACTCTGTTGATTTGTTAAATTGGTGCCTGCCATTTTGTATGTTAAATTAATGTTGTAATGACAGATCAAGGGGCATGTGTTTGTCATTCTAATTTTTAACCACCTACAGTTTAACATTAACTGTCATCCCTGTGTCTTCGCCTTGCAGTGCTCGAAGCAAGTGACTGTGATGAGCTGTCGGACTGCATCTGAAGAACTCTACCAAAGAATAATATCCATTTCTGACCTACTGTGAAGAACAATACCTGATTCAATCAATCTTGCAGCACCAAGGGGAGTTACTCCTAAGCCAGAGGTGGACCTTCTGAAAAAAGCAAAAGCGGACCATGTCATACATGACCTTCAGTGAGAGAACTCAGGGACGCTGCAGAAGAGGTCATATCTGATCTGAAGCTGCTCTCAAGAGGATCACCCAGCTCATAATTCAATAATTTCTTTATGTGTTGTTTAGCAATATTCAAAAACCATGGGCCAACGATGACGGACTGTAGTTATAAATTCTGGATCTTCTTTTTTTGAGGAGTACCGGACATCTAACCATGAATTCAAATGAGATTTTTTCCATTAAAGAGTGACTGTGAAAAAGACTGGAGTGGGGGAAACACTGGGGGTCAGAAGGATTAGCTAGTGTGCTGCTAACCCATGGTGGATCTGCTGTGACCAGGACAAGGGACTCAGCAGTGGAGGATGTCAGCAGAGGCCGAGCTCCAACCGGGTGTCAAAACCAGCCAGCGAAAGGAGTCCAGGAGGATCAAAGGTACAACAGATTCTACTTACAAAACACTCTTAGTGGCAAAAATACTAGGCTCATATCTAATATCTAAATTGAGAGAAAAGTCTCTCTATATATACTGTAGTGGGGAAACTACTACAAAGGCAACCAGAAACACGAAGAAAGGGAAATAAAAATGGGAAATCTGGCAGCTTTGTCATGTTTGGCTTTAAGCTATGTTTTGAAGGAACTAAATGACACTGGACGACATGAAGAGAAGCTTCACTCAGTCAAGCCCACTGTGTCATCCCAGGGATCCAGACGTAGTAACAGCTATTCCATGTAGCTGCAGGGTTTGGTATAGCACCATGATTTAGGTGTCATGGACAGGGTAATTCACACCCTGTTGCTTCGATGAACAGCCTAAGTGATGTAGTAGGATGAGGCATTCTCCGAACATGCACTAGGAAATTGAAATGCAATCCAATTGGCTGAGGAGATACAGCGGCAGAAAGAATGAAATTCACAGGGAGGATGAAAGTGTGTAAGAAGAGGATGCCTGTTGTTTTGCCCTCCCTCTCTTCATCTTTTTTTTCATCATTTCTCTATCCATGAACAAAGCCACTCCAGCTAGTCCAGTAAATCTGGTTTCTGTGGGCTGGCTGTAACAAGGCCATGGGGCCGGGTCCTCTGTGGCTGTTGCACTGGCGCTTTCGGCTTGCTCAGATAAATGGCCGAGCTGGAGAAGGGCCCATCGATTTGAGTTAAGTGGAGGCAGGAGAGGAGAGTGAGAGAACTATTACACACGTGGCTATGCAGCTCATCAGAAGGGGGCTATCAGCATAGCCCTCGACTTTACCATGTTAATCTCATGTGCTGCAGGGACCACTGTCTCAATCAGCAAAGATGTTATCTAGATGAGGCAACATACAGGCTGTCTGCCAGACAGCACAGCTAGTGGTGGTTGTGAGAAGGCTTGGTCAGATAAAAGATACTATCAAGAATCAGGCTGTGGACATATATTTAGACAAAGCACTGTTTATAACCAAATGTGTGGGAAGCAGGAGAAAAATGAAAGTGATTAAAAAATAAGGCTGCTGTTATTTATTTATTTATTTTTTTCTTGTCAACAAATCCCATTATTATTTTGTGTGATGTTGTTATGGTTGCTCTCAATTTTCCGTTCTCCTGCCCTCATTTTTGACCTCTTTTTCCATCTCATCTCACCTGCTCCAGCATCACCCTAGTCTCATTCACCAGTTATTGCTTTCACCTGCCCCTCAGTGTCTCATTTGCCATCAGGTATATAAACTCCCCCTTTCCCTCAATCTTAGTTCATTACTCTACACTACATGATGCGTTACTGCCACGTGGTTTTTGTGGAAACTTGAACTCTTAGCTCTGTTCCTATCAACACTTTACCTGAGAGTCGTACCTCAATTGCAAAGCGATACAAGCTGAACTGCATTATACCTTCCATGAGTAGTCCTGCCTGTTTGCTGCCTTGTTGTCTTTCCACTTCTGGTTCCACACCACAACAAGCTGTCATCTCCTGTATATTCTCCCCTCTGTCTGTCATTTTGTTGTCTGTCCTCTGTCTACACACCAAGCTCATTCAGTGCTCTCACCTGCTACGCCACAAAGCTGCCTCCCCTGCAGAGCTCCCCCTGTGTAGTCGCCTGCCTGTCTGTTATTCGGTCAGTACTCCTCAGCCGGCTCACCTCTTCCCTTAGTCAACTCACTTACACACCCTGGTCCTCCTGGTACCTGCTGCTCCTGCCACACTTACTTTCACGCCCCAGTCCTCAGGCCCCCATCAGTTCCTGCCTGACCTGTCTCCAGTTCTTTACTGCTCTGCCCTTCTCGGTTTATTTGTACAATAAACTTTTTTCTGATTTCACTCCTATTCTGAGTTTTAGAGTCTGCAGTTTTGGGTCCTACTTCACGCTCACCCCACATTCTAACATGTCACCCAGAGGAAGCATGTACAGGTAAAGAACTGAGCCTTGAGGGACACCATATGGTGCAACAGTTTGCTCAAATTTACGTTCACCAATAGAGACAAAGTAGTTCCTGTCCTGAAGATATGATTTGAACCTATTTAATATAGTGCCAGATTGTCCTACCTGATTTACAGTCTCTCCAGGACAGTATAATGGTTTACAGTGACAAAAGTAGCACTGAGCTCAAGTGAAACAAGAACTGTTCTTTACCAGAATCAGTTTAACTGGATGTCTTATCACTTCTGTTTCAGTGTTGTCATGTTTCCTAAATCCTGACTGAAATCTATCAAAAAGGCTATTATGTCCAAAAATTTTAGATGGTAGGTTTGAAATAGGCCTGACCTCCTGGTTAAACAATTAACATACCAACTCAAAAGGTTTGAAGTATGGAGAATGTAAAAGTACATCAGGCTGTGTTGAATGTTGGGACTGGGACACCATTTATTCAGGTACGCACTATTTACCTGCATATGTTCTTGTTTTGCTTGGCTAAAAAGTTTCTTAAATTGTTTAGATATCCTTACTGACTGTGGTAATTCAGAATGGATCACCTTAGCTGGCTGCAGCTAACTTGTATAACCCCCTCAGTTCAGGAGCTAACACTAGCTAGCAGCTGTCGACAGAACACAAACACTGCAGATGAATCAATTTCTGTCCTGTCTGTGCTCAAACTGAACACTAAAGTGGATGTAGTTCAAGCATCTGCTACTGTATGTAGCTGTATGGGATAGTATTTATTTTCTAAATTAGATGTAGTTTATATATTTGATGGCTATGATCCCCCCAGAAAGACACATTTACCCAAAATTCAACACAGTGTGATGTCAACTTCACATTCTCTGGGTTTATAAACTTGCGTACTTCTTCACTGGTAGTGAATTTCAGATGATAGAACATTTATGATAAAACCCAGAATTACAGTAAGAGGTCATACAGGATGCACTGCCTTGATGTTGTATTGCTTACATTTGTCATTCCTTTTCAAACCACTAGAAAAAACCAAACCTCATTGCAGCAAACTCTGACTGCCATGTTAAGCTAAAGCTCTCCTTTGCCCTGAATTGCATGACTTTACTCTATCGCCATAGCAACTGTTGCTCTCCATCTATAATCTGTGCACAGGGAGGAATGGAGGACAGGGAGACAGTGAGAGAGCCAGGGAGAAGGACAGAGACACAGAGACAGAGGGAGGCAAACAGCAGATTAACTCACCAGTCACCTCTCATACTGAATGTATGACATTGGAGTTATTGTAAGAGGCACTACAAACACTTCCCTTTTCATTCTCGTCAAATAACATTTCCCACATTTGACCAAATAATTTGCTGGTACGCTTGTCCAGCTGTTATATCACACTGCTTTACCAGTGTGGTAACAGCATTGTGGAGCCCCTACCTAATAAATGGTCTTGCCATCTTCACCCAGCCCACACATCAATGCCTGCATGTCAATCTTCAGTGAGTCAATGAGTCAGTGGTCTGTCCACTGCACTGATGCTGTGCACAATGAGTTCATTAACTCTAACTGCTTTAATGATCTGTCACATGACCAGAACCTTGATTTGCGTTTAGGTCCAAAGTTATACAGAGGAATTCTTACATTAGTATGGAGGAACATGCTGCTCTTACAGTTCGTCTATCTGTGTGCTTGCTGAGGCTTATGAAAATGATTTTATGTGCATTTGGGAGGCCGATGGTGGGGACAGATTTGCCTTTCTCAGACATCCCTTCTCTTTACTACTGCTTAAAATCATCATTCACTTGCCCTGATAGGACAAACCTCCTGTTTTCATTTTTGCAAAGTCAAATGTCCTGTGCAGAGATGCACAAAATAATGGTTAATATTGTAAACCTCATGCAGGCAAAAGCACGGCTCGGTTAATGGGTGGCATGTGTGGCCTAGTTGCAGACAAGGGCACTGACAGGAAGTTGCAGATGCACATTCAGAGAAGTTCAAAGGTTAAGCTGTCTCAATGCCTGGATCCCCAACAAAAAAGTTCCCTGCTGCCAAGTTCTTATGTCTGGAGGGGCACTTCTGACTCTCCATCTGTTGCCATCTGTCTCATCACTGTCCCCGTTCTAGTGTGGCAAGGACCAGGATGCTACACAGTGATCAGAGACAAACCCTGTAACAGTATGGAGCAAGGCTACCAGTAATTGTTCTCTCTATGATCCTGGTGCAGAGCCTGTGTATCAAGAGGAGGATTGTAGCATTTGATTTGGCAGTTAAATCCCAGGCCCCATTTTTGGAGCTTCTGCTATTTAATGGCATTTAAGTTTCTACAAGATCATTTAATAATCAGGGCAAAAGGAAATACTAGAAGGAGGAGAGAGATGCCACAAAGGTCCAGATTATAATCATGCACCTCAACCCACCAGGACTCTCAAAATGCAACCATGTTGTGCCATGTGTACAATACACTTAGACGCAGACTAACAGTAGACAGTGCTTTAGGCAACCCTCTGTCAACTAGATTATGAGCATCAAGAGCCCAAAATATTGTGAGGACCATTCAACCTTGTGCAATTGTAAATCCCAAAAGCCAGAGGAATGTGTGTCACCCACCCACACACACACAAGCACACACACACCTTCCCCCCTTCTCTCTTCTCCTTCCTTACAGTTTATAACAACATGAAACAGCATGCCCTGCAGCTCTTTAGTTTTCAGATACAGCACCGACTTACTTGTTTTGATCTGAACCCAGGGCACGTAGCATACAAGTTATGTGTCAAGACGCTCATTCGGTATGCAAGCCCTACTTTGTTTGAGGATCTGTGCATAAACCTCTAAATCTTTTCTGAAGTGTTATTAGGGGGAAATGTCACACTGTATGTAAAGAAACAAATGGCACAGAACATCTGGTTAAAGCTCATGTGAGAGAGCCGCACTGAATTAGACCGATAGTGTTTAAAATGCAACTGGAGCAGGATGCATTTTACATTACACTACAGAGTGTATGAGTCAGTGAAATGCATAATACCACTACAGAGTGTATGAGTCAGTGAAATCGGGATGGAATGCATAATAATGTTTGAATACACTACAGTCACTGTATAAAGGATGGTACAGCAATACGTCTTGCATCTGTTCGCCTGTGTAGGTGCAATCATGGATTTAGTGTGTTAAAGCAATGACTCCAGTTTCTCCTCTTAGTGAGTTTGTCATCAAGGTCTGAATGTTCATTTCTCTACACAGTTGCTGTGTGGTAGGCTGCATCTGGTTAATGTTCAGAGGCACACGGTGGCTGTATATAAGACTCATTATCCTCTGGCAGGGAAACACATCTGAATTAGACCCAGATTTGACATTCACTTGCTTAGAGACTCTAATGACTTTAGCATAGTCAAGCCCCCACCCCCCCTTTAGAGAATTGCGCCCTCATAAATTAGCGAGAGGGTGTGCATAGCTAAGACAAGTGCTTGTATTTGAAGTCAGACATTATTTTTTCCAAGTGCACAAGCCCCTTCATATGCTCCATTTCTGAATTTTCAGTTTTTCCTACCTTGGAAACTGCAGGAAGAGAACTAGAGATTCAATTTGTGTTACGGTAGATGTAGCGTGGATTTCAGTACTGGGTGAAATAAGCTCATTTTGGTGTAACATGGTTTTTGAGTACAGCCTGACAGTTTCTGTTAGGGATATTAAACCTTGTCTTCTTCTTGCACACAGCTTAGGCAGCCACCTAACTATGCTGTTAAGTGATGTTCTGTATAGGCTCATGACCTAGAATTTAGTGAGTTAGGGACCTGAAAACTAAAATTCTCCAATGTGCTGATGACGTTGATTAGAAATTGTGAGATCTTTTTATGTAAATGCAGCTGACACACACCTCTCACAGGTCAGATGGTTTATACATTGTAGATGCACGAGACCATGCTTGAGGCTTGCACCCACATAATCAAAACATTATGATGGTGCTACAGACAGAGCCAAAATGGGAAAGGTGTAGGTGTCAAGGTGGTGTCGGGGCAGCTGCACAGATTGACAGAATAATGAGCAACAGGGTTGGAAGGGAAAAGTGGAGGGGGTGACAGTAAAAAGCCTGAGGCCATCCAGAGACACACTTGCAAATGCCCCCCCACCTTCCCGCCACCAGCCAACATCACCATCATCCATCACCCAGGGAGGGCCTTGGTGGATTGTGGGTGAGCACTGGACCGAGATGATTCCTCTCAATAGCACCCATTCAAGCTGGTTTGTCACCACCAATAGCACCCATGGGAACTGCCGGCATGGGCGAGGAGTAGGAGGAAGCCCCCCATTCAGTCACCCTGCAACCTTGCACCCTAGCTTTGTGTGTGAACACCCCACTGTGCCCTGTGAGAGGTGATGGTAGTGTACTCAATGTTCCAGTTGTTTTCTCATTTACTCCACTGGCTTTATCCATCTTCATTTTCTATTTCATTTCAATTTTCTTCCATTCTTTGCTCCCTGTCGCTAATTTGCTATTCGTTCTACATTTTCTATTCCATAAATATTTATACCAGTGTGCACACTCACACACACACCCATACAAACAGACAGTCAGTAGCCTCTGTACCTCAAACAGGGCATGATATTGAAGTTGAAAGATTCAGTTGAGCTCACACATCCTTGTGTCCTGTAATAACGCTCTCATTCATTTTCTCCTCCAAATTTTTGCCCTTTTTCTGTATCCCTCCTTCTTTCCCCCCACAGGTCAGGACCGCAGTGAGGCGGGGCTTATTAAGCGTTTCCGTGGAGATGGCGTGCGCTACAAGGCCAAGCTGATTGGGATTGATGAGGTGACAGCAGCGCGGGGGGACAAGCTGTGCCAGGACTCCATGATGAAGCTGAAGGTGCATACTTCTATATGTGTGTGTGTGTGTGTGTGTGTGTGTGTGTGTGTGTGTGTGTGTGTGTGAATGTCATTGAGCGCCTTCACTCATCTCTGTCAGATTTGGAAAAAGCATGCTCAGGCATGTCTCTGTTGTCTATTAAATGAATCATGGGCACTGTCTACTCCGATATATGACTCACTGAAGCTCTATAAAGAACTGACCGGATGGGACAAATAAAAGTCCAACCATATTATTCCATAGCTCTCTGTCATTTGGAAGCCACTGTACAGTTGATTTTATATCCTGTGCAAAGTGATAGCAGGTTTGTACTTAATTTTTCATCCAACAATCTGCTGTATTTTTAGTAGTGCTCAGAGCCTTTTTGCTGTTCTACATACAGATTTACTGACTTTGGAGGCAAAGTGGGTTCCCATTCTAAGACACTTTAAGCAGAAGAACTCTTAAGAAGAAAATGTTTACTTTTTAGCCTGTGACTGCCAAGACACCCTTCGCCCTTCCAGTTTGTCTGCCTATGTATTCTCATTACAGTCACAGCCTTCTATTTTTACAACAAAGTCCATGACTTGTAGCACATGTGCAAACCGCGATAATGTGACCCAGATAATAGTTTAGCCAGTGTTCTTTACAGAATGCTGCAAGTAAATTAGGCCAAATGCAGCTCCACAGTAAATGACAAAGTTGGATCTGAACACTGGCAACTGGGAATGAACAAGTTGAGGATTCTTAATTCTCTTTATTTTGAAGAGAGGGTACTAAACATTAACTGTCCCCTAAGCTTTCTGTTCTTGCACATGTGCACGTTACAATGGTGCAACAGTAGCTTTGCCACTTGAAATTCTTATTTTCAAAACAATATATCAGACAAATTCATGTCTAGTCAATGACATCAGTTCTGTCAGCTAAAATGACAACTGTTGCTAGTAAATGTTATCAGCTGTGGCTACCTAAATAATTGAGCTAAAGTTACCCCCATGAGCTGTTGAACTTGCTGTCTCCATGTGACGTTTTATAACAATTAAATGAAAGTTTAAATGTGCACTTGAAGGCTACATGCTGTATGTTCCAGGTAAAAAATCCACATCTTCAACCTCTAGGGAAGACATGGAAATGAATAAACAGCTAGTCTTAGTATTAAAGAAAATGTAAAAAGGTAATATCCCTGTTTCGTGGCTTAGCTTCTACATAAGCAAGAGATCAGATTTATGGTCATATTTTAAGTTTCACAGTGGTCGGTTATACATGTGAGTGATATATTACTCAGAAATACCATACTTCCTCTTCTCAAGGGTTTATTCTGTATCAACTTAACGACAGCTGTGTTTAGTGGCTCCAAAGGCAAGAGATATGAATCCCTCTCTTTGCTGGGCAAAAGCAGCACAAAAGCATCTTTGAGGTAGGTGGCTATGAGATAAATCCTTTCCCAAAATGACAACATAAATTTGTGGCTTTTTAAGTATCTTCTCACAGATTTTGTCACATAAATGTGTGAGAAACCCCAGGGGAGGGACAGGAAAGCCAGAAAGCAAAGCCTCTCATTGTCCATATCATTTCAAGTGATATGTCCGATAAAACGGTCTTTTTGCTGCCTCGATGTGACATTTCAGCAGTGCCCTCCACATGACTCCAGTACTCACCAGCCACCAGCCAGTTACAGTCAATGGAGCAGTTGATACAGACCTGTTATTATCTGAACAGGGGATAAAGAAGGGAACGGGGCTCTATTGAGCCGCCTCTCGCTGCCTTGAGGACTAATCTACCAAATGGAGAAGCCGATGGCTGATTGACAACATCCATTGACTCACCTGCCAGCCTGCCTCTTTCTCATTTACTTCATCTCGCTCTCATTTTTGTTGCTTGTTCTGCTCCTTAGCCTCTTCTCTGTCCCATTTATCTCTTTGACTCCTCCTCCTCCATTCCTCATATACATTTATGTATGTAAGATGGATGGATATTTTTATTGTCTCCCTACAAAAAAAAAAAAAACACTTCATGACCATAGTTTTAAACCCTAGCTAAGCTTTAAAATGGCAGCTGATGTACAGAAGAAGTTGACCGTTTATCAACATAACTGGGCTGGCAGTTCCATAAGACTTATTCAGCACAGCAGGCAGGTCTTTCCTCTCCTCTTATCTGCTCTCCTCCTCTCCCTTCTCCTCTCTTCTCTCACAGGCCTTATTCTATTAAAGACATGGCAAGCACACAGGCTGTGTCAAACAGAACACAGTGCAAATGTTAATTGTTTTCTTTATTTCAGTTGAGAACATAAGAAAAAGGAGTTGCGGAGCTGCGGAGCTTCAAAGGCTGGATTGGTTGTTCAGTCAGCAGTATGTCAAGTTGCTGGAGCAAGCTGGTCAGACAGCAGTGTGATCCATTCTGTCAGCAAATCTCACTTTATTGTTGTTAGCTAGCGCTCATATATTTCACATTGAAGTGCAGTAGACCTACTTCAAGAAAAGGGAGAGTAAAGAAGGTACTTGGGAAATAGTAAAAGGACTTTCTGCACAAGGCAATGTGTGAATTCCTCTGAGAGCGAAGCTTCAAGAAGTAAAACTGTCCTATCTCACCTTGTGTAACTTCCGTCACCGCCCTTCACAATATTCCCCCTGAATCTGACCCCTCAATCCCCACCCCACCCCTTGTCTCCAACTGTCACACTCACCTGAGCGGGAGAAATGTTTCATGCTGAGCTCGTATCCTTTCATGTCCTCATGTCATTTCCTTTTAATCTGCAGGGCGTGGCTTCCTCAGCACGTTCCAAAGGGGAGCACAAGCAAAGAGTTTTCTTGACAGTCTCTTTCGGTGGGATCAAGATTTACTGTGAAAGATCAGGGGTGAGTAGCATGTGATCAAGTGGGCCTGCAGCAGAGCTGCACCGTGAGGCCCCTGTCAGCTCCTGTACTGTGGACCTACAGTATGGGACATCCAGAGGGCAGACACTTGCACAGTTCAGTTCACAACAGCTGCCAGATCCGCCATCTTGTAAGCCTGGCTGGCATGGTTGACATATTGCAACTGCAGTACCTTCACAGAAATAAGAAGGATTCACAATGTTGGGCTGAAAGTTTGTTTGTTTGTTTTTTGCTACATTTTCAAAAATTTTTCATTTTCATATTCTCTAAATATCAATGCAAAAGAAGAAACAACATGTTTTCTATAAGATAATTGCCCTTTAACTCATAAAAACTAAAGCTGACATTAAATTGCAGGTCTTGAATTTGAAGTTCCATCCTGAGTAAACCAGTATAACACATGGGTATATTGCAGGAACTACTTAGGGCCTGCTGCTCCATTCTAGGATGATCGAGGGCCCCGGCTCTCCCCCGTCTTGGGGCGTAGTGTTGGTTAGATAGGCCCACTCTGCTCATCAGCGCTAACCGATAATTAGCACTCAGTTCCACCCCTTAATGATCATTGCCGCTAAAGCTAATTACACCGTGGTTCCACCTCAGCTGTCTTTAGTGCTAAACTGATACTGTAATTATGCAACACCGTTTGTCCTATGGCTGCCGAGCTGGCCACCACCCCAAGAAAAAGCCCACCAAGCTTTGATAATATCTCATAACACTATGACCTAGCGACAGTGGTGGGTCATCTGTAATGAAAAAGAACATTAAGCCATCCGCCACTACCAAGACTGACCAGCTTCTAACAAGCTCATTTGTTGCTTTGAAAATCATGCCCCTAATGTTCTTCATTTTATTTATGGATTACTGACAGCAAACAACACTTCACACTTAATATCCCGTTTGAGTTATTATGGTGGAACCCCCCAGCGCAGGCAGCAACAGAAAGCCTTTGGTTGGGAATAGTTTTTATGTAAAGCTGACATGATTCTCTGCTGAATCAAGCATTAGTTTTGTACTTTCCATTAATCTGAGCCTTTACTAGCGACACTCCCGGCTGAATATCGGCTAATATCCAAATAAAAGCTTCTCACTAGTGCCTACACTTATCTCTGCTAATGGAGGCGCAGCAGCAGGTGGGCGTGCCTGAGTGACAGCCGAATTACTCTGCCTATATATACAGTATGGGTGTGTTTATGTTTTTTGAGCTTTTTGGTTTCTGTTTTTGCTGGTACCGCATGTCAGAGCTCCACATCTGTCAGCAGTGTTGCAAATACATCATGCACGGGATTGAACATTGAGATTGACTGCTCCAAATTCACAGAATCTTAAAACTGGATATGAAAAGGACTAAGAGCTGTGTGCTGCCTAATATGACACAGCACCACAAAACAAACATCACACTTCTCTAGTAACTTTAGTACCTAAAAGAACTGTGTAACAGAAATTTGAATCTTTCCTCCCCTTGTCAGAGACTTCTGGACTTCCTCTGTGTTGGTTGGCTGCATTTGGCTCAACAATATGCAAAAATGTTCAAAGTAGGTCTGACCTACATTTACTGCCAACACAGCCTGCGGCTCTCATTATAAAACATAACATCAAAAGACAGTCAAATTTAACAAGGCTTGTTTAAGAATCAAACCTGGCTCCCATACTGTTCCCAGTACTAACATCTTACATCCATGCTGTGCAGGTGCTCCTGCATCACCACTCAGTGCACGAGATAAGCTACATCGCCAAGGACACCAGAGACCACCGGGCCTTCGGCTACGTTTGCGGGAAGGAAGGCCATCACAGGTTTGTCGCCATCAAGACCGCGCAGTCGGTGAGTGCTTTTCCACTTTTCTAGAACTTATTTGAAGTCTTTTGAAGCAAGTTCATGTCAAGTATCAAGTTCAGGAGGGCAATTCTACATCAAGTTAGTAAGGATGGGTCCAAATTGGATGCATGAATAGTATTAATTTATCAGGAAATACAAAATGCAATAAACAGAAAACATCTAAGTCAAATCAGTATTTTGTGTGACCACCCTTTGCTTTCAAACTGCAGCAGTTTTCCTACTGTAGGTGCACACACTTTTTCCTGGCAGATAGGTGCATCTTGAAGAACTTTAGCGTCTCACAGTGGGTGCTTCTCATTGCCCTGTTTCACATCTCCTTGCTCTTCACATGGCTTCAAAATCAATTCTGGTGCATCATCAAGAAGGCTCCTTCACTTCTCTTGTTGCTGTTCAGAGGAGTGGGAAGGCTGCCTGGTCCATTTATCAGAGGGATTTTTCTTTTCATTTTTGTTCAGTTTTTTATCTTATAGAAAGGAAGGTCTGTTGTCTTTCAGCATTAAAAACATTTTGATTAAATATTGGTTTCTCTCATTTGAAATCCCAACGTGTTGGAGAGAAACAATATTTTGACATGACATAATTTCCACTTTTCCTATCTGCTAGTTAAGTAATTTTTGTAAATTCGGAGGGCAGGACATTTCATATCTCTGAAAATGTGATTCCTCAGACTCCTTTCTCCATCTTGGACTAGGGACTAAGAGGTGCAATAAGATACAAGTGAGGAGGAATGAGGAAACATTTGAAGCTAATGGGGAGCACCCATTATCTTCTGTCTCTTCATGTAATCCCAAGGTGACTACATGATGTTGTGATCAGGGCTCTGTGGGGCTCACTCCATCTCTTACAGGACTCTTGGTTTTTGATGCTGAAGACATTTCTGCATGGCTCTGGCTGTATTCTCAGGGTCATTGTCATGCTGCCCGTTGACACTGGGACTGATCAGATGCCTGCCTGATCATACTGCATAATGGATAAAAATCTTGATACTTAAAGTGCCTAAAACGTTTATAACATTACTCTGACTCACGTGCCAGGCCTGTTGTCCTGCATACATTTTCAACCTTCACTGAGGAACACCTGTGGAGACTTAGGATTGAATAAATGGATGTTACACAGTGTAGGAAGAGCAGGAACTCTGTGTTGTGATTACATAGTGTGTTGCTACAGGGGTAATCAATAATATGATAAAACAGCTGTCTTATTATGTGTTTCTAAATAACTGCTATGCAGGAAATTGCCTAATTTTCTGTTAATGTCCAAGTCAAGGGTTAACAAACATCACTGCTGTTCTGATCCTTGAAACCAGCTAATGTTAATGCTAACTACTAACCATGTCTAATGCTACAGTGGTTTCTACTTCACTAATTAGTTTGCTAGTTTTCAGATCAGATGTTTACAACAGGACACTAGTGACCAGATGAATGCTTAGTAAACAATAAGGTAATTTCTATTTCAGTAATGAACCCATACAGTCTTTAATTGAATTATTATTTCTGGTGTTTCCTTTTGTGGAGTGATGAGATCATGGCCAGACAGCAAATATATTCTGCACTCACATAATCTCTTCTTCTTGAGTTGGCTGAGTGAAATAACATAAAAATACATAAACATTGAAAAGGTCACTGCCTATAACAAAAACACATTCATTAAATTACTATCACAGTTAAATCAGCACACGTCAGAATTCTGTACAAGAGTGAATTATTTGTTTTTGAGTGTTAATCCTGGATGTTTTAAGATAATTTTCCAAAATGGTAAAGAATATTCATGCACCGTTCTTCTTCTCCTGCTTCTCCCATTCTTGTTTGTTTGTTCATTTCCACTCCTTCTTTTTCCACATTTTCCTCCTCTTCGTCTGCCTTTTATTTCCACTGCTCCCATCCAGGCGGAGCCTCTCATCATTGACCTACGTGACCTCTTCACACTCATCTTTGACATTAAACAGCGGGAGGAGCTGGAGAAGAAGGCTCAGAAGGACAAACAGTGTGAGCAGGCGGTCTACCAGGTAGGATGCCGAGACCTTTTCTTTCAGACCTACTTACCAGCCGGAGGCGAGATCACACATTATACTGCAATTCAGCCAGCAACTCTTTCACACAACAGATATGTTAGCACTTTCTCAAGCTTCCTCTGAAGTGCATCGCAGACTGTGTTTATCTGCATGATTGATTTCTATGTTGAATATCTATATATAATTAGAAATGCAACAGGTCTGGATGCCTTTTTCTGCTTGAGTCAAATATGTGTGTGACAGGAAATGTGTGAGTCAGGTGTCTATCATGTAGCAAGTCAGTGTTTCATTAAAACTCAACACACAGTCAAGTCTGTAAATTTGCTTGGTTGAAAAGACAGCCGAAGTTTAATGTTGATTGTGTGTTGTTTTTCACCCTTGCTTAATTTATTTTGTAATGAGGATTCTCAAAATTTCTCATGAAAAACAAAAGGTGTCATTTCCCTTCTGTCCCAAAACTGCACAGACCATCCTGGAGGACGAAGTGGACGATCCAGTTTACCAGGTAGGTTCATAGGCACGCAGAGCAGGAACAAAACACTGCTGACTTTAGCTTCACTGTTGCTGTTTTCAATCTTAAAGCTTGGAACAATAATAGTAATATAAATAAACAATTAATCCTTAATTTACATATCTTCTCCAGCCACTGATCTGCTTGAATTAATGATTCATGATATTCTGCCATTCTAGTAATACACAGTAGACCATCCTAGTGGACAGTTTTGTTCAACCATTCAACTCCCATTTGCAATTGCAGTGTTGCTTTTAAGTTGATCTGTGTCAATGTTCTGACCTCTTCCAAAAACATGTCCCTTGCCCTGACTGGTTGTTACCCCCAGCCCCTGTGCATTTATTTGGCTGAACATGATTTCCCCCCCCTCTGTGTTTGCTCACACTGAATACAGACAACACTAACTCTTACTCTGAATGCTACAGTATGTTCAATGGTACATCCACCCACCTCCCTGGTCACCTCTGTACTTTGCTCTTGAAGTGTGATTTGCATAAAGTCATTCCATGAACAGCTTTCAATTTATGTTGATGTTGGTTGACAAAACTCCAAACTGTGGCCAAAATCGCAAAAGAAATAGTTTGACATTTTGGGCAATATACTTATTCACTTTTATGTTGAGAGTTAGATGCTATCACTCTCATATCTGTCCGTTCCATATGAAGCTGGAGACACAGTTAGGTTGGCTAAGCAGAAAGACTGGAAACATGACAAACAAGCTAGCCTCTGTTCAAAGATAACAAAACCAACTGAAGCTCACCAGGTGATGCAGCACATTTTGTTTACATAATTCATACTGTACAAAATTCAAAGTGTTTAAGACATTTTGTTGTTTTACATGAGATTGTGTGCTGGGTTATTTCTTGGCTGAACTAGCGATCAGCTAAGAAATGATCCAACATATTACCTCCATTGACACATACAGTGTATGATGGACGTGGCGTCTCCACTTTCCTCCACTATGCGAAAATGAAGCCAAAATATTGTGAACACAGTGGCTGCCATCTTGCTTTTTCACAGCCAGATTCTACACAGTAGTGACCAGAAGTGGAGTGACAGAATCAGAACACCAGTCAAAGCTGTCAAATCACTTGAAATGCCATCATCAAATATATCATCAAATAACTAAATAACAAACTTACCAGAAAAATGACCACTTGTGCACATATCAGCGTGATAATATTTACCAAAAACCACAGAAGTGACATCAGAGAAAAATTTATTAGATTTTTGAATTTTCATTTTGGCTTATATTCCATCCACTAACATGGAGGAGGCAGGATTTATGACCTACACTGCAACCAGCCACCAGATCAAATGTTTGTGGCTTCACTTCTGGGAGTTCTTAGCCTGTCCGTCATTTTTTTTTACACTTGATGATTGACGCCCATAAAAAAGTGAGCTGCTAGGTGAACTTTGTTGCAGCTGGACAGAGTCAGCCAAGCTGTTTCCCCCTGTTTCCAGTCTTTATGCAAAGCCAAGTTAAGTGACTACTGGCTCCAACTGCAGATCTAGGAAAGGTATCAATCCTCTTGTCTTACACTCAGAAAAAAATGCAAACATGTGTGTTTCTCAAAATGTTAAAGGGAGACCTCTAGCTAAAACCTCCTCACTGCCTTGAACTACTGCCTGACCTGTTATACTTGTGCTCTTTCCTCTTCCCACCTCACTCTTTTTCTTTCACTTTCCCCATTCCTCTTTCTCCTGCCTCATTTTGACATCCTTTATATTTCACTTCCCACCTGACACCATCCTCACTCCCCTGTGCTTTGATTTATTCTCATCATGTATTACTCCTTCATTGTATCTCTCTGTTTTGTATGCCAACCTCTCTCTTCCTTTCTGTGTTCTCATCTCATTGTTCTTTGCACCTCCACGCCTTGCCCACTACTTCTGTTTTGTAGTACATAGTCTTTGAGGCTGGACACGAACCCCTCCGTGGCCCCCAGTCAGAGGAGAGCGTTTATCAGGTACAAAGACAAGCATTGCCCCTTTCTTTATCTCCCTCTTCATACCCTTTGATTAATGATAATACTAACATGACTGACAACTTTGTAGCACACTTTAAAAAGAAGTTACAAGATGCAGAAGTAGATCAAACTAAGGTTTCTCTTTTAATGTGGCTGTCTCCTGTGGCGATTTAATAATAAAAGCCACTACATTATTTTTTTGTCAGTGGATGCATTTGATGTGCAGCGGCAGTAGCAGTACAGTGTTGGGTTTGCATTAATACAGCTCTGGTATGGGGTTAGGAGAGTGAATAGGAAACAGAGAGGACAATATCAATGAAATACAACACTACTGGATTATATTCACTTTCCCGTTTCTGGTGGATCCTGCATTTAAGGCAATTTAAATCCAGAACAAGAATGGCAGACTCTGCCACTAACCATGAAATGTACTATATAGAGCTAAAATTACCAAATGGAAATAAAGTGAATGATTATTGCTGAAAAATGCCAACCCTAAAAAGAGTCAAAAATGGAGTTTGAGTTCATTAAATTTTTTGAGATTATAACTTTAAAGATGCCTCATATAGTGAATAGTTCACCTGAAGCCTGGGATGCTTTTATATCCAACATATTGACCTTTTGATTTCAGACCATTTAAAGGACCAGCTAGGACAGCAGAGACCTGATGTATGGTTTAATCCTAACCACCCCACCCCCTTTCTTTCCCTCTCTCCCTCTCCTCCCGCTCCTTTTGCCTCTGTATATTTTATGTTTCTCGGAAGATGAAAGATGCAGAGAGAGAAATTAATCACTTTTCCGTGTCATTTGATCGCAGAATGGAACAGGATCAATGGACCTGGGGCAAGCGTAACTGAAAGTTAGCTGGTTAAGGGAGAGATAGGAGGTACAGTCAGTGAGGCTGAGCAACATATCGATTGTAAAAACTAGAGAAATATTCAAAAAGATCAGAGCTGAAGCATTTGTCAGGTGAACCAGTTAGGACATACACTTGCAGAATAACAATACACTTTCAGAACCAGCATGCACTGTCCTCAAGCACTCTTTGTAGTCAGTATTGATTTAAGTAGAATTGATTAAACAGCAACTGTAGAATTTGCATAATCCCACTGCACCAAAAGATATAATATAAAAAAAACAACAACAAAAAACAGATTAAATCAAAGCTGATGTAATACACTTTTCTGTTACAACAGACTCATTTTAGTTCTTGGAAGCTGTTGTTTTAAAATACTCAGCCTGTAAAAAGAAACAGAAAAACGTGTTGCTTTGTTACTTACTTTTGAATCGACCTCCAATCCAATGCAGGTCCCAACCAGTCAGCAGAAGGAAGGGATCTATGATGTCCCAAAACGCCATTTCATGACTGTAGGTGTTTTTTAAATTTATATTGTTTTTCTACCTGCAAACCTCTCTTTAATATCCTTTTGAAGAAAGTGCCTTAAGCCCCCTTTGTCAGTGTCCATATTTAATATCATGCTCTACTGTATTTAATAGTTTTCATTAAGTATTTCATCTTACATGGGTTAAAACACATTTCCCAAGTCAAGGACAAGTCAGACAGTGGCCTACACTATGTCTGCGTCCACTTTCTGTGAACATGATTATGAAACAAGGCTACTCTGGTTATGCCAAGCCTGTTTGAAAAGATAATAATAATCGATCGGTCAACCAAAAAGAGACATGTGAGTAATTTCAAAGAACATTAGAGGGGCAGGCTTTGTATCCAAAATCCACAATCTGACACATGTCATGACCAGATGAGTGAGACTTTATTTGCAGGTCCCATTTGACTGGTATGACTAAATAAATAAAGGGGCGCCTGTTCCATCTTCCTCAGAGGATGAGGATGAGAGGTTTGTAGGGGGGGTGGGTGTTGGGTTGAGCTGCATGAAGCGTAGTCATGGCCACTAAACACACATAAAAGCTGTACCTTATTGAATAGCAGTATACTTTTCTATTTCTATTGTTTTGATAAAAAAAAAACAGCACAAGTGTTTTTGTTTTTCTCCCTTTCATCAAACAGAAATAATATTTCATCTCATCCTCGTAGGTTTTTCACTAGTAGCTCTTCACCACCATGCCATGACCATGCTATTACAACTCTCAAAACACTTATTAAAAGCAAAACAACAACAAAATAAGTTTATTCAAGACTATTTTGCCACACAACACCCAGAGAGATTTTTCATGTAACTTCTGAAAACAGCCCTGGCATAGTGCTTCTCTAGTCTTCGCTTTTTGTGTGCTTGTAGCTCAGCATATCAAGCTGATAAACTGTCCGGCCCCTCACTATCTCGACCCAACAGCCCATGCCAGTATAAGTAGCAGCGCTTCTATATCTCATAAGTGTTACTGCTTGTCTGTTCATTCAGTCGGAGCTTTTTTGAGAGAGCCTCAAGCTCCCGTGGTGTGTGTCAGTGCCTGCAGGGAGAGATCTCTGTGTACAGTGTTTACGTTTTTCCAAATTCTGATTCATTCTGTGCCCCTCAGTGGTTCCAAAGTGCCATGCAAACGTATTCAAGGAGGACATGGACGCCCTGTTAGCAGCAACACTGATTGCTGTGATTCCTCCCTTTTCTTTCTTTTGTTTAAATACGTTGTGCTTGTTTATTTCTGGCATGCAAATCCTGTGTGTTCTGTGTGTGTTCCTGTGCTTTTACGGTGTCTGCTTGTGCATGGCCCCAGAAACATTTCATGCGAGTTAACCATTCCATAGTCTCTTCCATAGCAGTGTCCCCTCTCCTTTAAGAATTATGTGTGGAGGACACAGGGGACTAGAGCTGGGGTCACATCTGGCTATAGGGTGAGGTGGCCTCATTGTCTTGGTTGGGTGGTTCCAGAAGCTTCTTCTTTCATTCATTCAATGAAATACACACTGAATCAGCATAATGAAGCATCTTAGGCTCACATGGGGGCCCCTTTTGATTGGCAGATATAAGAATATCTAATCAGAGTCTGTTTTATAGAACTGAATATCTTTTTACCCGCTCAATTATAGCGAGCCATGAAAAACTCATTTTAGATCCATTTTCTGATAATGAAACCAGGCGATGGTTGATTCTTGCCATCCACAGCACAGACTGCCTTTGTAAATAGATTTCGCTCCTCACACCTACCCACCCACGCAGCCACCAAACCCTATTTGGAGATGAAGTCGAGGTTTCATGACTGTGCAAAACTTATTGTTGTGAGGTGCCAATGGCCTTTCTCTCTCTCTCTTTCTTCTCCCCTCCATCCTTTGGCCCAACTCAAAGAATATCAACCACTTTGATCTTTTTGGTGACATGTCCACTCCTCCCTCGGTGAGTACAACCCCCCTTAATTTTAGTTTGGAGAGTTGATACAGGTTGGAGAAATCTCATTCACATTTTATCTGTAATGTCGGCTCATTTCATTTGAACAGCTGCAGAGTCTAAATTACCTGAATATCAGCCAGCACTGCGGAATAAAGATAAATGTGCAGCACAGTGACTTTTCGTTGACTTTGATAATAGTGACATTTTTGCACGCACGTGTGTGTGTGTGTGTGTGTGTGCTTTGCCTCCCAGATGCCCCCATCACCTGCCAACACACTGGACCCTAGCAGAAGCAGCCGCCAGCAGCAGCAGCACACTTCTGCTGAGATGTACGCCCCCTTCAGCCCGACCTCTGTGCCCTCAGGTAGCTACCCAGACTGAAAAACATAATGGAAATGTAACACATACAACAGAAAAAATGATGCTGCAGGGATTGTTGTTTCTTTGATGTTTAGTTTATGAAACCCTTGCCAAGGTTATTGTATTTATAAGTCTTCATTAGAACCCCACACAGAGTAGCACTGTGATTGTGAGCTAAGCTGTGAAGGAGATGTAAAGTGATGCAGGACCACTGTGCTGCTTTTGCATTAATATTTTAGGAAGATTTTAGCTAATGGTCTGCCAGGTTCAAATGCATATCTTAGCTAGATTGATTTTTTTTATGCTTCCTTTGTTTATCATCAGTTTCACCACACCACACTGTAAATATCAACATGCAGATATTTCAGACATCCAGTCATTAAGTCAGTGGTGCCATCATCATCATCATGGTTTTGTACAAGCAGGTGTGGTTTAGGCATTCAAGAACACACGAGCATCAGTTCATAAGAGCAACCTAACCAAATAGTGCCTGTCCATGATAATACATCTTAGGATGTCAATACTTCCTAGAGCTGACTCTCAGTTCTTGTTGCTGATTTATTGAGAGGATTTATTCAAAGGATTCATACCTGGGTTGAATCAGGTCTATGCAGCAGCCGTCTTGGTCACATGGTGAGTGTTACCTGATGAAGATGTAATGCCAGGAACTGTTTAGTGTGTGGGTGTTATGCTTTCCTTTTGACTACCTTACATTGCAGGTTTGATAACAGAAGTCAGAAAATCCGTGAAAAAACTATCTATGTGATTCCAGACTAATGGGCTAAATTATTTAGAACCACTAGTTTGGTTTTTATAATTTAAAAAACAGGGCCCAGAATTGGTCACAGACCTGTTTGACACATAAACCACTATATCTGTGTTAGTCTAAACGCACCCTTTTGCTACTATGTTCAGCAATAAATAGCTAACATTGTGAAGACAGCAAGGCAGGAGTATTGATAGAGGAACATGCTCCAAATAGATGTGTTGAACTTGTAATTACACAAGACGAAAAGTATTCTGTGCGCATAATAATCTTTATTTCCTGCCATGATTTCCTTCCTTTCTCTCCTTTTTTCTCCAGGTTATATGACCATGGGCCCAGTGCAGGCGGCTCAGTGGGCACAGCAGCCATTTTCTGCCCAGGCTCAGACTCTGGCCTTCCCTGTGCAGGGGTCCCTCCAGGTGGCTCAGGTGCTCCCCGGTGGTCAGCCAGTCATCTGGAGCCAGGCCAACATTTTCCCTGCCACTCAGCAGCAGTGGGCAGCCATGGCAGCCTACATGCCTGCCCAGACCGTAGGTGTGGGGGGGCATGCAATCCCAGCTGCCATGCTTCAAGGCCTGGTACCCATTACCACCATGTGCCCCCAAGCCTGCGACGTGTCAGCCCCATCTTCGGCCATCACCAGCCCCCAGCATGTGGCCGACCTCACCCTACTCCAGAGTCAGCTGAGCCAGGTGAAGGAGGGCCTCAGTGTTGACTCAGATACAGGAGAGGGCCCATCAACGTCAGGAGCCGGAGCAACAGGTGTAGGACCTGGCATTGTGTCAGCAGCCTTGAGCACGTGTGAAACGCCAGGCCTCATGGGTGTACCAGACACACTCGCCTGCAGTCAACTCCTGCCACCTTCAGGTGCTGTGAATCAGGAAGAGGAAGGGAGTTGTAGTGACCTTGATCTCTCTAGGATGACCCTGAGCCCAGGTACATCAACATCACCATCAACTGAGTCTCGTAAGTTTTCTTTTCTTAAGTTATAATTGCTGTCCTCCAAATATAAATACGGCTGACTGAAGTGACATCTGCACCACTGATGAGAAAAGCATGAGGCATTTTTTTTAAATCTTAAATCCCAGTTGAACCATTTTTGTTAGCCTTAAAGCAGCATGGCTCTCAGTCACTCTGAGCGGCCCTGGAACATCTGTGGGATTCGTTTCCATAAAATGTTGTACAGACATTTCAAAGGATGAATCCTAATGATTTTGCCAATCCTGTGACTTTTCTTCTACCACCATCATGAGGCTGACATTTGTGGTTTTAAGTGAAAATTCTGACAATTCTCAGATGTATTGTCATGTACAGACATTCATTTGTCTGCACAAGAAGAACTTTAATAACTGATCCCTTAATTTTTTATTCACTAAACTAAAATGGTGAACACAGTAAAAAATTTCTGTATACCAGCATGCATTTACATGTGGCATACATTTAGCATATTTGGTAGTACAATAGAAATAAAAAAACGATATGACATTATGTATCAATTAAGGTCATGATCTGGGTTTAAATTCATTATTTTGCACTATAGATTAGGAGCATGATGCTGCAATATATTTTCAGGATGGGATAAGCATTAAATCATTAACATTCCACATTTTTAATTCCTAGTATAATATGTCTTCTTTCTGTATTAAATTCATATTTTTCATAATGTGTTTTCTGATCATGTCTTGATGTTTCTCTGTACAGCATCCACTCCAGCCCCTCACCAGAGTTCCTCCTCAGACTGTCTGCCTTCCCAGGCCAGTGACACCCCCACAGATCCCTCCCCTGTTGACCCAGAGGGCAGCTCCAGCAACACTAGGGAGGAACAGTCGGTGAGCTCCAGCTTCCTGTGTCACATCCAAGTCGATAAGACTTGTGGATTTGACATAACACCTGTCTGGCATGATGCTATGGTCTACAGTATATGATATGATTATTGTCATATGGATTATCACACTAGAAGAGTAGAATGTCATGTGATTAATATGATTAAAGAGGATGGATTTTTACCCTTTTTTTAGGAAAATGCCAACTCAATTAAACATGAAAGGTTCATCAGGATTTAGGTGTCTTGATTAGATCATATGTAATAAGGTAAAATTATGTTTCAGTGATTTTACTAAATGTCTGGCTGATGTTTTTTCTGGAAAAGTGGGAACGAGTTCAAACTGAGTTGATTTCAATATATCTGTCACTTTCAGTAGAAATTTTACATCTTTCTCTCTCTCTCTCTCTCTCTCTCTCTGTCTTTCAGGGCTTTGTTGCTCCAAGGTCGCTCTCTCCTATTATAGTTCCTGATCCTCCACAGGATCAAACCTGTCCACAGGAAGAGAGCTAGAGAACTACAGACACTGAGTGGGTATGTAATGGTCTCCCTCTCACTGATTTTCCCATGTTATCTATCAGCAGCCTTCACATTCTGGCATTTTATGATTTTTCACACCTGATTGTTTTCATCTCCAATGCCCAACATTACTCCTCCTGTGTCATTTTTTCCCCCTAATCTCTCTGTGTACCATTATTTGCTTAATATTATTTGTTCTATTCCAGTTGGCTCCTTACTGTCTCCTTTTTCCTTGTGGATGAGTGGTTTGCTGCCAACTGGAACTTGATTTAGTTCTGTTTTAGTCATTATGCCTCGCTGCATCACACAAAAAAGGAAGGCGCAATGTAGCCACCTGGTGGTCACATTTTGTAACTGCACAGACACAGCTTTAAATCGTTGCTGTTTCTTTTTCATTTTTCAGGGAATGGAAGCTCTCAAAGCCACAACAGAAGCTCATGAGAAAGAGAAGAGAGAGGTGAGCATCTCTTACAGCTGGAATACACAAACCTGTGCTGTTTTTCAACCTTTAAAGGATATTTTGGCAGTGCTATATTAAGCCGGCTAGCCTAGGATCTGCTTTTCTCCAGAGGCCACATTCTGTACTGTACTCCTCAGCATGACAACCAGACTTTATCAAATAACCTTTCAACCAGGAAGTGACCTTTGACCGAAAACCTACAGCAGGAGGCAATCGCAGCCTGTAATGTACGTATATCTGTGAGGATACATTAAAAGGCCATGGTGACACTGATGATGCAAATTATTTTTGGACACTTTCAAGGGCAGCAGCATTGTACTGTATGTGGTTGACTTTCAGTTTGTCAACTGCCACCAGCAAATACTGTGCACAACAGATGGATTTGCCAAACGTTCTAATAGTGTTGCTCCACCGACTCTATTTGCATGAACAGACTTACTGTGGATTCAGCGTCCTCGGCTAGGAGCAAAACCGCTCTCTGCAACTTCCCTCTACTGTAGGTCTGAACCAACTGACAAAATATGATTTTTCTTTGTCTTCTTTTCTAAACTCTTAGTTGATGTTGAGTTGTTGGAGATATCAAAATGACTCTGAGGCATCAGTGTTGAAATCAAAATTTGCCAAACATCTATTTTGTAAATAAGAATATTCCCGGCCCCCGATACCTGAGCCTCTGTGCCATCAGATATTGCTCTGCCTCTTGAATGCCACCTACCTGTGTCTCTCTTAAGCAGTTCCCTACCAGCACCTCCATTCTTGATGTCTGGATGTTTGTTTTACTTTTGCAGGCATTTATTTTATTTTATTTTTTTTTTTCTGAAAATTCATTCATTTTAAATTTTGAAAATGAAAGAAACAAAGGGGTCAAAACAAAAATCGTACTACTGTGCTTCTGAAAGGTCACCGACTTTTTTTAGTCAGAGCAGGTAGATTTTCTTTTTGTTTTTAGAAAATGCTAGGTTTCCAGCTGAGGTCACATTGTTCACAATTTGCTTCTCAGAGTCATCTCTCTGTTTGGTTTCTTGAACAAATGAACAGATCAAACCCATTCTGATATGACATGGCTTAAAAATGGCAAGGTCTGAGGCAGTAGAGTGCGTTTCTATCCCTTATCAGGTTTATTTTTGTTGTCCAATCACTGTTGTTTTTGTCAGGTCATTGTAAACAGTAAACAGGTCATTGTTGTAACAAAGCACTTCGGCATATTGTAGGTCTGCTTCACAAAAAGGTCAAAAAGAAAGACAACTTATAGACTATGAACAATAGAGATATCATTATAAACTGCTAGATTTACAATAACAAACTGTACCCCTGTTCATGTAAGAAAGATGAGAAATAGTCCAGAATATTTTGTACATTTTATTTATGGAATTATGAATTGTCACGCAAAACAGACAAATGACTTTTGTACATCTATGACTTCCCCGCACTGTACCAATGCCACTGTTCAGTCACAAATAAAATCTCATGTGATTCCCACTGTTCTGTTTGGTTTTCTTTTGTTTCCTTAACCTGGTGTCATTTCTAATGAGCCACAGAAGCAGACAACACAGGTTGGCCCATTGTAAGTCAAGACCCTAAGCATAATGTAGTGTCCCTTCAGTGGTCGAAAATGTAAATGACTTAGGTAAATGTATCAGTACAAACATTTAAAACAAAACCTTTATTTGAAGATAAGGCTTGCAATCAAAATCTTCAAATTATCATCAAAATGTATTTGAAGATTATTAAACTGCTACTGATGCATTTTACTGTTGAAGCTGACTGAGGTCGGTGTAGTTTTAACAACTTTATATACAGTGTTTCCAAATCCCAAAGGGCTACAGGATAAATCTGGATGGTTGTGAGATTGTTAGTACTCTTGAAAAAACATAAAACACACTACATGTGTTCACCTTTAAGACATTTCCTTAACCTGTGGTTTTATTGTCACATATACTGAACCTGTTTGAACCTCAGAGCATTTGTAAATTAAGCCATGTCAGATGTTTAGAGGGGAAATCACTTTTGGTGAAAAAGCAAACAACTGAAGATCTGCTTTTATGTCCAAGAGAACAAGGCACAAAGGTTGAGAACAATTGGTTTAATCTTTAACAACAAGTTCTACTGTATTTCATAACTTTATATGTAATGTCATAATTAACCTGAAACACAACTAATAACGCCAGAGTTAAACATATTCAATTTCATTCTGAAGTGCAGTGAAGTAGAAGTATAGAGCAGTATATTATAGAAATACCAAATTAAAGTACAAGTACCTCAGAATTGTATTTACGTGTAGCGGAGTACTCTAAATGCACTTTATTTTCCACCACCGTTGTCCTTACAAACACAACCTCATCCCAGTAAACATACTGCAAACTATATTTTAACACAGTGTACTTTTTTATAATGACATTAATAGTAATATCAGTTGTGTCTGTACAGTTTATCAGTACTAGTATATGTTGCCCTTCACCGAGTAAGTAAACGAAGTGGAGCCACATGATTGTGTCATCCTGTAAAATCCAAATCAAAGGTGGACAAAGTTTAAAAGTCACAAATAGACAAACATGACTCAAATGATTCATCACATGTCTTCTAACAGGAACTTACTTTATAAGTAATTACTGCACAAAAGTGGGTAATATACAGGAAACACATAAGGACATCTGTACTTTTAACACCCTGAAGGCCTGCAGAACCATGTATACAGCTCCAAGAGTCCAATGGCAGCAATGAGTTCATATTCAGATCCGTATTGATCAGTGTGTGTTTACATACAGAGCAGAGCAGTGTCATCTTCTCTCTCATACTCAGTTGTGATACACAGCCATGCTGTCTCCAGTGACACAAAGGAGTGCACTCAGCTTGCGCTGTTTTCTAATTTATGTTACGTTGAGTTTGGTGCTTACAAGGTAGGAGATTGTTTTGTCTCTTTAGCGTAATGAAATGTTCATTTTTCATTCTCTGGTTGAGTTTCATTTCCACTAATGTTAAAGTCAAAGACAGGCTGATGCCTAATAATGCTCAAACATAATTTATGAGGTTAAAAGTGGTTGCTATCCTTTTCAGAAGATCAAAAACCTTTGTATCCAAAGCAGATAAAATACCTGTAACTTTTACCATTTATTTTGATCTTATTTATCACAGCAAAGTTGTCAACACAACAGTGAGCAATGAGGAGCCCAGTGTTCGTGCAGCCAGGGCAGTGGGTGATCAGGTGGTAGTTCATCCAGTGGACTGCATTTTGTCTGAGTGGAGTGCATGGTCACGTTGTGACACCTGTCAGAAAAAACGAGTGAGTATGATGATACCAGATGGATTATAGGTAGCTTTGTAGGGGGCTTAGGGGGCTGGGATGGAAGCAACACAGCTACAATACATGTAATATGATACATTTGATGGCGCGTCACATTGCCTCAATGTTCTCCTTATATTTTATTATAAGAAGGAATGAATTCACCCATAGCTGATAGTTTGTGCTGTTGTCTGAGTTATAAGTGCAGAGACATTTACAACAAATTGGTTATACAATTTGATGAAAAAGGCTGTGCTCTTTGAGGGAGCTGTTGAAGAATCCAAGCAACAAGGCTCCAAGGCTCTCCTAACAAGCATATACATGGACCTTAAATCTTAGGTAAATCAACAACATCATAAATTTAACACATACAGCATGTCAGGTTATGATTGGGCTTTACCATGAGCCAGTGATTGTGCAGGATGACTGAAACAGCTAAGTGGTCTGAATTAATACTTTGATTTTTACAAAAAATAGATAGATTACACAAATATGGAAAATTCATTGTTTACTCATGTGAAAAAAGCCTCTGCCTCAACCTATAGACCATCACATGACACCAAAATTCACCAGTGATCATCTGAGGTCAGCAGCTTCTTAATATGCTCCTCCAGCTACTTCCTCTCTTCAGTGTTAGGGAAATACATTATGTTATGATACAAACATCCCCTAATCTTAAAGGATAGGATTTACAAAACATTTGCTTTCTTATGGAGAACTGAACAGGAGTATTGATAACATTCTCTTATCTGCACCACAAAGGTGGAGCTAGCAGCCAGCTAGCTTAGCTTGCTCAAAGACTAGAAACAGTTAGTGTGGCTCTGTCAAAAACAAAATTCTTCTACCACCACAAAGCTCGTAAATTATCGTCTTCTATCTTGTGTGTTTAATTTTTCCAAAATTAGTGTACAAACAACAAGACATCACTTTATAGGGAGCTTATTTTAATCAGTAAACAACAGATTTTGTTAGGTTTGGACAGAGATGGGCCACTTGTTTCCCCCCCATTTCCAGTTTGTGTGCTAAGCTAGGTTGGGCAGGTACTGACTACTGTAGTTCACACAGACACAAATGGTTTTAATCTTTTCATTTACCTTATCTGAGATGTGTAAGGGGCCATTTTACTTACTAACTAAACAGTCAAAGACAGCAGAGACATAATATGTATAAAAATACTGTTATGGACTGCAGTTAACTAAATGTATGGCCAATATCCCACAGGAGCATTAAACTAACCAAATGCAATGCACAGGTTATGATAAATGACATGGGTACACTCAGATTATATTTGAAAAATAAATCATTTTTACAGTGTATGGATTGAGAGATAATTAAAATGTTGCAGTCTGAGATATTTAAACAGTGTCTGTGAGGCAGACAGCTGCACTGCTGCCAAACACCTCTGCTGATGTATTTCAGCACTCTATCTTATCCACTTTACAAGGAGGGGAATTAATAACCATGACATGACAAAGTGGAAACATCCCACTAATGTGATTTTGGCTGTTACAGTGCCCCTGAGCAGTTTCCGAGATCTTCCACCACCTTTATTTAGTAATGAGCTCTCCTATGAGTTTCTCTGACGGTTTATGTTTGTCTCCCTCAACCATCCAGTATCGCTACGCTAAGCTTGAACAGCCATCTCAGTTTGGAGGGCTGCCATGCAATTTTCATGGCAGGGAAGAAGAAACCTGCAATGTTCCCTCACGTTACATCTGTGACAATGTTCCTTTGTGTGAGGGATTTCTCTGCACCCAAACAGGTAGCTCCTACACCTACAGCATTATTAGGTCTTGTGTAATGTTTTAAGAATTCAAGTCACAGTAAGAAGAACATTAATATTCTGTTTCCGATGTGTCGTCTCCTCATTCCAGTCAGGAAACTACTTTGCATTTAAGAGCTTTATTTTTACAGAATTCAACACTGGTGGAAATACACTTCACTTTTTTGTCAAAAGCATGGACGGATTATGACAAAATGGCCCCTGGGCAAGAGGACCCAAAAAAGAGCCTATCTTTAAAGATGCTCTTTGTCTTTTTGTGGTCTTTCTGAATTTCTTTGTAGTTGTTATTTAGTATCTCTTTGTGGTCACTTTGTATTTTTTTGTGGATTTCTTTGTGTCTCCTTCTGGAGGGGCCCCCTGACCCCTAAGGTCCCAGGGCCTGGGCCTGCTTGGCCCATTCAGTAATCCATCCATGGTCAAGAGTTAGATCATATAGTCAGTGCCACTTGTGTGATAATTATGAACCTACCATCGTCAGTCAATTACCTTAGCATAAAAACTGGCAGCAGGAGGAAACAGCTAAAATCAGTTTATCAGCACCTCTGAAAGTCACTAAATTTACTCTTTTTGGACAAGAAATAGTCTGATGTATCTCCACGACCCCATAAAACCATAAGTTGTCTCCTCCAAAGCTTACCAATTAACACACCGTCTTTTTTTACACACAAAAGGTGGCCAAGCACAGTAACTTCCTGGCATCTGTAACTGTGTCACAAGCCTGGCTACTTGTTTCCCACTGCCTCCAATATTTATGATAAGCTAAGCTAATCGGCTGCCTGCTTAGGCTTCATAGTTAGCATAAAGACATAACAGCCATGTTAGTTCTGTCAATCTACAAAAGCCATCTGTTTCTTTCCTCTCCTTCAGGTCGCTGTATTCACAGAACTCTGCAGTGTAATGGGGAGGATGACTGCGGGGACATGTCTGATGAAGTCGGCTGTAGGGGTGCTCTCAAACCCTGCAGGCAGGAGGCTGAAGAGTACTGGGGCATCGAAAACCTTGCCAAAGGGTGAGTCACATTCCATTTTTGTTTTTCTTTTGACCACTTCGAAATGTAAATGTGTGCTGTCCTCAAATCAGTCTTCTCACTGTTTATGCCGTGGCTGTTACTTTTGTTTTCAGAATCAACATCTTGAATAGTAACCTGGAGGGAGTGGTGCTTGATAACAGATACTATGCCGGCAGCTGCTTGCCACACTACATCCAGGATGTCCAGTTCAGAAAGCCTTACAACTTGCAACAGTACACTCTACAGGTAGACAATATACAATCTATCTACTGAGTTAGAGTTGATAGGGTTTTTTAGAACAGTCTGTAATGAGGCACACTATATTATTATGACTTTGTTAATGGTTAATAAAAGGCTTAATAAAGCCTTATAAATCAGTTATAATTCACTGGGACACCAATTTTCAGGAAATCCCATCACTTGCCTTGGGACAAAATACCAAACAAATGGAGTCCTTACAGCTTGTTAACCCACAAATGGTTCTTATTATAACTACTCTGTAAAGGTTTAGCAAATGATTCATTAATATTAATAAAGCAGGCAACATATGATCCCTTGATAAAAGGGGTTTAATATATATAGTAGAGAATGTGATTGTTTCAGCTTGGATTAACTTTAAATCTGAAATAATCAGGGTGTATCTGATTTTCGTATGTTAGAAACATGGTTTACAGTAAATTAATTATTGTTTAATTATTGCTCTCTACAGACAAGAGGCTCATATGATTTCACTCTGCAGTCTTTTGAGTCTTATTCTGATTACATGGACTACACCCTGAAGGAGCGGTGGAGCAAAACCACTGTTTCATTTGGCTTCACCATTCCAGGCATAGTTTCATTTGGCTTCAACTACAATGATGCCAAATACACCAAATCAGTTCAGAAGATTCGCCGTGCCTCTGGCAAGGTGAGAGGGTGTTTGCTTTGTCTTCTTTTTATTAAAATTGTTCAAAACACTAGAAAATATCTACACAAGTGTTAACCTGAAGGCTGTTGGGCATTCCTTAACCTGCCTCTGACTGATTCTGTGCCTAGACCAACAGCTTTGTGAGGGCCAAAGCAGAACTGGAATTGGCCCAGTACATGCTGAAGTCAGACAATTTGATGCTTCACCCTGAGTTCCTGCAGCGCATGCGTTCCTTGCCACAGGCATATGTTTATGGGGAATACAGACAAATATACAGAGACTACGGCACCCACTATATCACTGAGGCTGCCCTTGGAGGAGAATATGAGCACACCATCATTCTGAACAAGGAGAAGCTTGAGAAAACAGGTAATCATAAGTACTGATTCCAAACTGGAATCATCGGGCATCCTCAAGTCAGCTCAAGTTTGGCTCAATTTCGTTGTTTCTTCAGATAATATGATCAGATACTACCTTGTTATCCTTAACATTGACTGCTGTGGCAATGAAATGCTCTACATCATGGAGCCATTATGTGAATGATAATATAATGTTGAATGCAACAACTACTCCCTGACAGAGTTTTGTGGTTCTAGATTATTCTTTGGAAGACTACAAGTCCTGCGTGCAGGCAGGCTTTAATGCTGGGGCCAACATATACGGAGTTTATGTGTCAGTGGGGGCTTCTGGTGGATCCTGTGATGGCCTGCTCAATGAGATGGGAGGTAAGGTACCATGTTTAATCAAATTCTTTACAGTCTGCAAAATGTCTCCTGTTTTACATCAGACACTTGAATGATGCTAAGTTATTCTGTCCGTCTCCAGAGGACACTGCTTTTGGCAGCATAGTGGAGGACTTTTCTGCTGTTGTACGAGGTGGCAGCAGTGAATCCATCACTGCTTTGGTGTCTAAAAAGCTTCCCACCCCACAGCTGATGAGGCTTTGGGGTGAAGGCGTGCGTTTCAACCCTGACTTCATTCGTAAGACAGTGAGTTATTTTTTCTTTCACTGAATCTTGTTTTTGTTGATGTTGCATGCTATATTGACACTTGCAATGCTTTTATCCTATTTCCTGTCTCCCACAAACCACTAACATCATTACTTCTTTTTAATTGTTCCTTTATATATATATATATATATCATTATTTGTTTTGTTTTGTTTTTTTTCATTCAGCTATATAAAAAATTGTCTACTTGATGCAGGAACATTTACAGAAAAGTAGGTCAGCAGTGGGACTAGTGTTGGCAGAATTGCAGAGAGGCAAAGTACAACTAGGCTGATAAATAGCAAATCAGAGAACAAACAGCAAAAGATGCCAAAGAGCAACTCTGCCAAACACAACTAGGCTGTCTTGCTACACCACAGTCAAGCTTCAGTACTTGTGGAGCTTTCTAGTTGGCTCTATCTTAAAAAAATAATAAAGGTAATCTAAGAGAACTGAATTTAAACAAGATCCCAGTTTAATAATGACACTGTTTCTCATTAGACACGGCCGTTGTATGAGCTGGTGACCTCCAGAGACTTCTCCCATGATGCCACCCTGAAGAGAAACCTAAAGAGAGCCCTGTCAGAGTACCTGGCAGAGGCTAGTTCGTGTCGCTGTGCTCCATGCCACAACAATGGAGTAGCTGTTTTGAGAGGTAATCAGTATTATTGTTTGTGTTTTTGATTGAAATAAGCAATACCTTTTTTGTTTCACTCCTCCTTTATACATCAACTTAGGTTTTTTATCACCCTCAACTGAGGACTAAGGAAGCCACTAAGACCAGCATATCTTGTCTCTGCGCAGTTCTCTGGTGTTTTTTAAGTTACAGTTGTGGTCATGATGGTGGTGAAGGAAATGTGGTTTTCTTCAACAGGTACCAGGTGTGACTGTGTGTGTCCTGTTGGCTACAGTGGACGGGGCTGTGAGATCACTCAGAGGCGAAAAGGTCAGCTCTAAAGGTTTAAAATTCAAAATATTACACAAAACATGATATTTTTTTTTTCTGACATAATGTGGTGTGACCCTTTCTGACAGAAATGGCCATTGATGGCAGCTGGAGCTGCTGGGGTGCATGGTCATCCTGCAGTGGAGCAACAGTGACGAGGAGTCGACAGTGTAACAACCCAGCACCCAGCAATGGAGGCTTGGCATGCATGGGACTGCAGCAAGAGTCTACTGAGTGCTTTTAAATATCTGCCCAGCAGCCCTGCTGTCTACCCTGACATAAAGATTTATAAAAACTTTGAAGATAAAAAAAAATGTGTCTGTGGTGTGTCAGCCTAGTCAGACAGAATGGTTCATACTGTGTCTGACTAACTGTGACTTACCTAAATCAGATATCTTCAAAGAATATTTCATAAACAATATTAAATCATGTGAGTATTTTTTTGTATTCTGTTCTATGTAGTTGTAGCATTTGACTAGATCTGCTTTAAGCACTGACCTGAATTCAGCCTCCATTATCCAAATTTAACTTTCATATTAGAGGCAATATACAGATGTCTAAAGCTGACAGTTTCACTCTTATGCTTTAAAAAGGCCACACAAAAATTAACACGCACATAGTAAAGTCTGCACAGCACACATTTATTCCAACCATGAAATACAGTATGTCATACAGTGTTACAAGGATACATGTGTTTTTAATTATTATTTTGAGAGCAGACATTTACAAAAAGATTGTGATAGAGCAGTTTTCTTTGAGTTCAAAAGTATTTAACTTCTTATTCTAAGTTAGCACTCAAGAGCATCTGAGTCTGGGGGGAATGCTAACATTAGCAACGCTGCGTCTGAGAGGAGGAGCCCAGGCAGGGTGCCCCACCCCCGTCAGGTGTGGGATTGTTACAGGTTCTTGTTCGAGTCTTCCTGCCTGAAGTACAGGTTGACCAGGCCCCCCAGCAGGACCACAACCCATCTGTCTTGGTATCTGTCAAATGAAAATGAAAGCTGCTATAAGATGTATTATGGATTTGGTAAGAGGAAATGTCTGCATACTGTCATTACTCCATCACATCCTCTGACCCAAACAGCAAGTGGAACATGCATCTAAAGTGCAATTTTGTACTTTTACTGCACTGCATTCAGCTGACAGCTTAACAGGTCTGGTTTTACTTTAAAATTGTAGCCTAGGTCCCAACCCTTTGGCTTATGACTTGATAAACTAATGACATTGCCATTGGCCTCAGCTGTACCTTGTGTTTAGCCCTGTTTAACACATTAAACTTTCATGGTAAACATTACCTGATAAACATTATCAGGAGCTCAGTGTTTTGTTTTTTTGGCCAGCAAATGTGCCCTTCTGGCTCAGTTCCAATGCTCTTATTGCATGTTTCAGAAAAAAAGCTCTAAAGTCCAACATATATGTTACTCCTGATGTCAATACAAGGTTTAATCAGATTTATTGATTGGCCACACAAAGAGAAATTATGATTTGGAGAGATATCAATTATTATTATTATTATTATTACTATTAGGTAGTATAACAGCTGTCACAATTCCCAAACTGAAACTCATGTCAAACATGAAGCTGTGGCAGTATTCACTGAACCTCAAACTGGTGTTTTTTCCTACAGTTTCAGTGTAAGACCAAATACAGTGCTCTGACCATATCATTGAAGCTAACAGCTAATTTTGCACCCTGAGCTGAATTTTAGACAGCAATGTTTTTTGTGTTGCTCTCCCTGTAATCTCTCAGTTATTTTGGGTCATTTTCTACCTCATGCCCACACAAACATCTCACTGATGATGTCACTTGGAAACTGGTTTATATGACGTTAAAACGTTTTGTCAAAGTTGTGTATACAGTATCAGCATGTGTCCAATGTCCCTAAGTGGCCATAAATGTGTTGTTGTACTTAAATAAATTATTTGAATGTGTTTGTTTTTTATGAGCTAAATCTCACCTCTTCTGAGAGTCTCTTCACAGGCCTCTCCACGGTATCCTGCTTTACAAATGCAGCTACAGGAAGTACCTGTGAGGACAGGAATCCCATTGTGCCTGCAGGAGCTGCAGCGACAGGAGTCAAACTGCTGCAGATACTCATCCCAGGCCCTCTGCATGTTAGCCAGTCTAGCACCTACATGGTCAGCTGCTGTGCTGAGGCGCACTAGCTCATAAATTGGCATGGTCTGGGTCATAGGTGAGGAAGGAGAGAAACAGAATTGAGTTAAAACAGAAGACACACAAGTAGAGAAAAGTCATAAATCAATACTTTAACAATAACTTGTGTTTTGTTTTTCTTCTGTTTAAGAGCATGTTATCATCTTCTGTCAAATCATAGGAAACAATTGTTTCATCCAGTAAGTTACCTCATATTCAATGAGTGTTGGGTTGTATTTGAGAGTTGCTCCCCATTTCCTGTATGTGTCTGCACTCCTGACAGCCAACAGACCAGTGCTGCTGTGTGGGACCCCTCCCTTCACTTTAGTAACAATGTCCTCAATGAAAACTGAACTGGAGTCCCCATCTATATTTCAGAAGCAAAACAAACAAACAATAACAACAAAAAGACATCAGCAACATTACTACAGCAATCCTGAAAATGAAAATGAGAGTAAATAAAGCTAATAAACAAAAATTTAAGGTGATTAGGTACCATGAGGACCTCAGACAGGGATATCCTCAGCACCAGACCAGTATCCACATCTGTTGATTTTGTTGTACTTGCATGGTACTGAATGGTCATGATTAGCTACAATAGAATTTCAGTGTCTCACCTTGACTAAACTTTCCTCCTTTTTTACATGGCTGCACACCCACTTTGAGTTCAACTGTTGCTTGGGCATCAAGTGGATTGCTTAAACCAAGTGAGGCTCCAAAGCATCTACCAGCCTGGTCAGCCTCAAGCTCTGTAAGAGTTTGGGAAGAAAATGAAACTAAAGTAACTTTACTTTCTATTTCCAATTAAACTACATTGATTAACAAACTGTAAAGCCCACAGTACTTGAGTTTGCCATAGAGGTTTTGTTGACGACCACCACATACTCAAGGGATCCTCCCATAATTCCCTCTGTGACATAGTGGGTGCCAAATATGTTGAAGAACTGGGAGTACATCCCAAAGTCATACTGCTCTGGGAGCTCCATGAGTAGAATGTAGAAATCTTCATGAAGCATCAACTTATTGGTTCTCATCTTGAAGTGAGCTGTTTGCACTTTGGACCAAAGCCTCACAAACCCTACGTCCTGAGGACAAAAAAGGCAAGTTTGTTTTTCAGATATATAAATAGTAACAATCATTTTTCTTTTCAGGAAAAGCCACTAAAACTGTAACTTATTTATGCATCAAACAATGGCCTTTCATTTGAATCAACACCTTTCAAAGGAGTTCCCAATTTTAGAGTTAGTTGAGAAGATTGGTTCCACTGTTATATCTGACCATTAAATATTAAGCTACAATACACCTATAAGACGGTTAACTCGGTTAAGAATAGACTGGAAACAGGGGAAACAGGTAGCCATGGATTTGTCTAATGATAATAAAATCTTCCTCTATTAGCACCTATAACATTTACTAACACTATATAGTGAGTTTATTTAATCCAAAAAAAAAAAAAAAAAAACAGCATAGGGAGTTGAGTGTCAAACGATTTCCAGGCCTAGTGACTTGGTGGAGTCTCTGCCAGCCCAGCCTAAAAAAATTTCTACTATGTAACCCTGCATAAAATCTTAACTTACTGTTTTTACACTTTTGATTTTGCACAAATTAAACAAACAAAATTTTGTTTTAATATTTTAATTACTGAGCATTAGAGGTGCTAGAAGGCAAGCTTCATTATCTTTGGACTGGGCTAGGCTGGCTGCTTCCAATCTTTTTGCTAATCTAAGCTAACCTACTTCTGATGGTGGAATGATATTTAATGGACAGACTCAGGGAACAAGTGCATTTCCCAAAATGGAAGTATGGCTTTAAAACATTTGCGAATTTTGGCCTCAAACACTTAATAATTATATAATTCAAACAAAACTAATTGCGATTGCTATAATGTAAAACATAGATACCTGGTTTTTATACTTTGTTATGTTGCTGAGAAACTCCGACTCATGACTTCCACTCAGTCCCAATTGCACATAATAAATCCCGACTGAGACACCAGCATTGAAAGAACTCATAGTTTGCCTTGCTTGCAGTAGGCTCGCCATATCATCATAGTAATCGATGGAGCCTTCTGATGTAGCTTGAGCCTGTAACAAATTTTATGTCAGAATGCCTCAGTTCAAACAGTAGCTACTTTTATGAAGACACACAAAGAAATAAATCACAACCACTGATGTAGATCATAACATTACAATACCACAAAACGGTAGGTATGGTAGTTGTAAGGTTTCCGGTAGTTTTTATCATCCTCGTTGTAGTGCAGGTTCTCACAGAATGCGTCATAGATGAATTTCCTCCATTCACCATTGTAGACATATTCACATTTTCCTCCAAAGTACTTTGGGTCAAGCACATGATCCACAAATTCTCCAGTCAAGACATTGTAACTAGGCAAAGGGAAATAATTCCAATTAGTCATTAAAGCAATAGCTAGACATTTTAAGATATACATTGAACCAGTCATTGAATCTTTCTTTCTTACTTAAATGGTAAGACTGATACCACTCTCATGTCAGTATGGTACTCTAAGTATTATATTAGGTTATCGTATTATATTATATATATTAGGGTAACACCAGCAGCTCATTAACTTAGCTTAGCACAAAGACTAGAAACAAGGAAAGGACAAGCCTGGGCCCTATTCAGTGTTAGCAAAATCCACATACAGGCATCTCTAAAGCTCACAAACACATTATATTTTGTTTTCTTAACCTGTACAAAAACTGGTGTGTAAAAACAACAGGTTAAGGTTCTGCAAAGGGTTATGTGTCCAGAGCAGTGACTGTATGTATTGAAACTATCTGCTTGGATCTTCTGCAGACTGGCAGAGTGAGTACAATGTACAACCCTGCATGAAATGAAGAACTAATTTGTTTCTTCTGAAATGTGGCTACGCAGCAGCATGCAAGACACAGCCACTGAGCTGGATAGACTAACTTGCTTCTGAGCCAACAGGAAATGATCACTGGCCAGAAAGATCTGTGGTGGTGAATTGTGTGTTTATATCAGCAGAGAATTATGCACAAATGCTGTGATTGTGTCCAAACACTGTTCTCAGCTAGTGGAGTTTAAAATGGTGAAGTGCCGGCCATACTATCTGCCAAGAGTTGTGGCTGTTACTGTAGCAGTCATAGATGGCAATGATCAACAAACAGCACACCCCATTGGATTTTTCATCATCAGTGGTGACTTCGATCATGCAAATTTAAAGACTGTTTTTCTGAAATTTACCACCATGTCAAATTTACTACAACAGGAGAAGATACACTTGTGTGTGTGTGTGTGTGTGTGTGTGTGTGTGTGTGGTGTTTGTGTGTCTGTTCTATGATGCACTTTGATTCATTAGGAACAATATTTCATTTCCCTGTGTGTGTGTGTGTCAAATGTGTAAAATGACAACAAAGCTGAAAGTGATCGCAAACTACTGAAATTATGTAGGTATGTATGTATGTATGTATGCATGTTTATATGTATGTATGTATAATTAGAATTATAGGCACCTGAATTTCCAAAGTTTCAAAGCAGTTTGCTGAGTAAAGAACAGTGATTTTTAATCATATGTACATTTCCAAACTGAAATCTTTTTTACAGCTACACATGTAAGTAATAGCTATGCAACATTTACCCTTGAGTGCCTCGTTCAGCACCAGGGATCGGCTGAAGTTTGGAACACTTGTCGTCTCTCTGGTTGACATGTTGACAGCCATCTTCATCAGAAAAATCATCGCAGTCTGATTCTCCATTACAGCGAAGTGAGTGGCTGATACAGCGCCCTGGAGAAACACCCCCTCACTCATACAAACCTAGACTACATATCCAGCATATGCACACACCAACAATCACAACACCTTCACCTCAAAGAGAAAGTGATGGTGGTTATTGAAGGGACTTGCCTGTTTCTTTGCAGGTGAAGCTTTCACCACAGTAGTCTGGCACCAGACATGGTGAGGTTGCTGTTGGACATGCCAGTCTCTCCCACAGTGTCCCAGTGCAGTCTGTGCCTCCAAACTGTGAGGGTTTCTCCATGTATCGGAAACGGGACTATGACAAGTTAAAATGAGTTAGAATTTAAAGTCACTCACTGTGTTCATTCCCTTATACCATCACTGAGATATAGGTTCATACAGACTCTATATGAACCTACATACAGGCATGCATGGCATTCTACACCACAGTAGAATGCATGCCACATATGGCATTGTAGTGCAGTCCATGTTCTCGTGTTTCCATGTTGTTTTATTTGATATGAGGTATGTCTACAAGTTGTTTCAGAGATCCTAAATGAGTTGTGGTTTCTGAAGATTTTGGAAAAAGCCTAAAATTTCAGTTACATAGTACAGAACTAGACTTTTAGTGACTTTATTGAAGTAGGAACACTGATTTAGGATAGCCAGGGCTCTCTTTGGACCAATTGATCATCTCATCCATAATATTGATCTGAACAACTTAACAAAAACAGTCTTATTTCAACTGCAGTGTTTTTGCTCAGCAAGTTCTAGCTGTAATGCCATCCAGGTATTGCAGAAGCTAGCCATAATAAATGTTTTAATAATACTTTTGATTCAACATCTTTAAATTATTGATGCATGTAATTTGCTGTAAAAATAAATAAATAAATAAATAAAACCTTTTTGTCAGTGCAGGAGTTACAAGGAGTCCATGATGTCCAGCTCCGCACCACACAATTGATAGGTATCGGTCTGTTTACAGCTCTGGCCCTCCTCGTCTCTACCCAGCTGGCCCTAAAAACATCCATTATTATCGCAGTTCCACTTGTGATATCCATGTTGGTGTTATTATTAAATCATGGCTATCAAGATGTTTTCCCTAAAGTATAAGAAGTAGTGAAGCAAAGAATACTGCACCTGTTATCAGCAGCTGTCCATGGCTTTCTGGATGCATTCACAACTGTACTAAAATCGATAAGGACATGCAGCGTGCATAAACTCAGAAGTAAATGGATAAATATTTCCATTTTGAAAATAAGTAGCTATTCCTTAAGATTAAAATGCCACATCAGAAAACAACTGTTGTGATCATGTGGGGACTTCTGCCACTGTACTGTTGAACAACCACAGTGAATCATTGATCAAGAGTAAACACATGCTCTTACAACAGCTGGGATTTTTTAAATGCTCTATAACCCCCATTTCTAAACTTCTAATCACCACACACAAACACTCCAATCCAACCAGAACTTGCTGTCCCAATATACAAACATTTTTATTATAGCAACAGTAAATGTTTTTCAGAAACCACAAACAGAAACACTAACATTTTCTTTACCAAAGTGTTGTTTGCAACCATAATCAAATTATTAGGCAAAGCGTACGTCGTTAATTTAAATATTAGTAGGTTGTACGTAGGTAATAGTATTAGTAGTAATATTTTTCTGATCATTATGATAAACATTAATACCTATTCAGACTCAATGGAGCTGTCGACACTCCTGAATTGTCAATCAATCGCACGTGAGCGCGCACGCAGGTTACACGCAACGCGCAGGTGCGTCTCTCACAGCGGCGTTTTCAATTTGTTTGTATTAGCATCGTCCGCATTTTCAAATACGCAGTTCTGAACAGTGATAAACAAGATACGCTGCAATGGAAGAGGTAACGTTTAAGTAGTTAAATCATTTACCTTAAATGATTAATTTCAGATGACGGACTAGAGAGTAGCTGTATTTAGCCTCATTACCATGTTTAGTGCTAACGTTAGCGAAGGCCCCCCCAGAGTCAATACACTTCACGCTGGGTTTGGGTTAATTTACTTTATGAATTAGAAGTGTTTGGTTTATTGATTAATTTCACGGTTTGTAAATACTATAGCATATTAATGTGCCCATTCATCCAAGTTACATATCTTTACAAATAGGAAGTTATTATAATTTATCTCAACATGTAAATATATGTGGATTTATTTCCCCAGGCTTTCATATGTCTGTGAGGTTTCTGCCCCCATCTCAGTACAAATGATGTACATTTTAATGGTGCTTACCACATTAAGAAGGAAAAACTAAATGTAAAGGAAGTATGAAAAACCTTTTCAGAGAAATCATGTCAGCTCTCTCTTATTCTGGATCTCAACAGTTCATGTGTTCTGTGACTTTAGGTGAATGATAACTATATTACTGAATAATCTGTTGAATGTTTTCTTGGTATATTAAATATCAGAAAACTGAAAAGTTTTTTGATAAACCAACCCATAAATTATGTTGCATCAGCATTTGGTTTTGTCTCCCCAAAATTAAACGGATTAAGTAAAGTGTCACTGAAACATTAGTCATTGTAATAATCGGATGATTTTATTTTAGGATGGGGCAATGAACTTCAAAGCTCTGAGGGCAAAGTTTCAAGAAGAAGCCCTGGCTCAGTCTAAAACCAGTCGACCAGCTGTTGCAGAGAAACCCAAACACCTTCCACCTCCTGGAGTTCACTGCGGCTCTGTAGTTAGCAGTATTAATAATGGTGTAGAAGAGAAGACACCAGTGGTTCCCCAGGTCATTTACAGAGATGGACTGCGAGCCTCTGGAGGCAAGCGAAATATTTCCTTTCCACCACAACCTCAGCAGACTTCCCCTTCATCCCACCTTATTAATGGAGACAGCACAAGACAGCAGTCCTTCAAAGAGCGGCACATACCTCTGGTACTTCCTGTCCTGTCTGTAAAGGAGCAGAAGACAGAACCACCAGTCAAAAAGGATCACAAAGCGGAACCAGAGCGAGGAAAAGAAGTTATGCTGCAAATTAAAATCAAGAAGAAAGGTTTGCTGCTTCCCTTCAAGTCAGCTAAAACATCAAAAGTCAGTGCACAAAATGGAGAGGAGCCCGCATATGCTGACCTTACCAACAGACCTTCTAGTGCCCCTGGCGAGTTGCCCAGTGTAGAAAACCAAACTACAGAAGATGAAGTTTCTCTCCAAATTGACCAGCCAACTGCTGAGCACCCCCCCTCTAGCCCATATATACCTAACACCTCTCCTTGTGCACAGACAAATGTTGACTCCAATAATAGAATCATGAGCACTTTGGAGAGGGCCAAGAAGAAGTTCACATACCGACAGATACTGACTTCTGGCAAGCCAAAGAACTTGCATTCCCCTGACTACACATTAAGAGACCAGGTGTTCCATTCACCACCAAAGTACACTGAAAGTGTTGAGCCTGACCCACACATCCCCTTACCAGTTTGTCTTCCACACTTGGCTTGTATTTCAGCCCGGCCTTTCTTCAAAGCCAGTACTTCTGCACACAGTATGTTACACTCATTGATAAACATATTTTGGTAACATCAAAAACCTTTGTCATCTTATACTGTTTATTCAGATTTCTAATGCATTTGCAATATTGTTTTTTCCCCCCAATGGCTAGAGACTGCATTGGATAAGCAGATTAGCAGGGATATAGCTGACCTTCCATTTGTCAGAGCTGGTGAACTTCATCCACCGTCTGTTCCTTCAGAGAAGCCTCTGCCTGACCTAAGGTCACTGGGGCCACCGCCAGCAAAGCCCCTCAGACCTCCACTGGTAGATCTCCTGTGCTATCTACCCAGGGTTCTTGGTACTTTTCTTTTCCCTTTTGCTTTATTTCACTTTTTTGGCCACTGACTGAAGATTAGAGTACAGAAAGTTGTATTGTGCTTGGACCACAGTAACGGTGAATTAGCTGTGCTGTAGTTTACATCAGTGTTTCCCACACATCGACTTTACTTGGGCAGTCCACCCAGGCACATTAACAGCTGTCTAAGCATATTTGGCCACCCACTTTTATTTTTATAATAAATTTTTTTATCTGTCCAAGAGAACTAGGCCATCCATGATCAATTAAGTAGAGAGCAGTTTCCCCTTGCTCTTGATTTTCTTCCTCTTTTAACCATTTAAAATAGGTAGAATCTTAAAGATTGTACATCTGCATGCGGTGCATTGATTCACTCAGCCGCTCCTCTCTCACAGACACATTGACAAGACTCCCAGCTCTTCTTATTAGTAAGCTAGTAAGGCTAAGCTAGCTAAAGTACTGTTAGAATACAGCTGTTGCCAAGGTCAGCATGCTGTATATAGCATGGGTGTATATGAACTGCTCTGCACGTGGATAAAGTTCATGCTATTTCTTAAGCTCTGATGCTGAATGTTTGCCCCCTCAGTCCAGAGGAATATCGAAAAATACACGTGGGAAAGCTGATCAGTCTGACGATTATTTCCAGCCTTCAGCCATTGCTGCTGAAGCAGCAAGAGAGGGTCAAAACAAGATAGCTGCTGTGGGAGTGCAGCAGCGACAGGTCAGATCAACATCACAACAACAGCAAGCACAGAGGCACTATAGCATTACTATATGTAATACCAAAAAAAAAAGCCCTGCCACAAGTAGAATCTAATTCTGTGGGAAACACTGTACATTATTTTTGTTTGTGGTAAGAATGAACATCAAGTGCTGGTTTGGGTTTCTTTTTATAGAAGTGTCACCAGATCTTAATCAGGCACCACCTGAAGAGCCAGAGTCTCAGCACCCATCCATCCCCAACCCTGTACTGGATGCTCCAGAGTTTCCAGACTTTGAAAGTTCCGAGATGGAAATCGCAGACGGAGAAGCTGTTGATATTGCTGCAATAGAACTAGAGGCTTTAGACTTGGTCAACACTGACCTTCCTGACTTTGGGGTCACCAGTTTCGAGGGTCCACAACTGGATTTGTTGGTGTGTGATCCTCTAGAGCCCAGTGTGAGCTCTGTCGTCAAAGATCTGAACCTTGGCAGTCCAAATATAATACCCCTTGATCCTGCCAGCTTTCCTGAACCAACAAACATTTTAGAGTTCCCACAGCCTGTTGCACCTGAGCAGTGGTCCCAGAATGAGGAGGCAACTGTACATCCATTTTCTAATTCTCAAGCTACTGAGACTGACGTGGGAGCTGCTGAGTGCCAGTGGGCCCCAGAGGAGATGGAACTTGGTGTCTATGCTCAGTTGAGAGATGGGATTCAGCCACATTCAAGGTGAGTTTTATTGTAACTGGAATTTTCTGTGGCATAACCTGTATTTATAATTTGATCATTTTCCTGCGTAGTGTTTATCACCAGGACAGTTACTGTGACAGGTGTGATGATGTGTATGAAGGTCCTGAAAACGCCAACAAATTCATCACGAGCCAGAACTCTCGGAAACGTAGAGCTGGTCTAAAGAGTAAGAATGGTTTGCTATAGACAGTGTTTCATTCTCAATATGAGACCTTTTGCAGATATTTATTCTTTACATTTAACTTTCTTGTTGGTTTTTTTTTTTTTTACAGATCCATATGCTGACAACCACTCTATGGTAACTCTTGTTTGAATCTAATTGAGTTTAGTATCATCTTAGCAGAGTTTATATTTATAGAGACAAGTGTGCAGTGAATAAATAGCATGTTGCACTATTTCTACAATCATCTGTGGTAAATTAAAAATCATCTGTGTTTATTTCAAGAAGGAGGAGGTGTGTCCTAACACGTGGTCCCGGAATCCAAGGTATGTAGGGTGTTTTTTTTTTCCTTCCCTCAAACATACAAGTCCTGTTTTCTCACTGGTTTTTGCCAGATGGAAGACAGACATCTTACTGTGGTAAAGGCCAGTGTAACAGGAGAACATGCTCCTTTGATTCATAATCATACCACTGGCTTCAGAAAATGTCAATAACAAGCTGGTCACACACCTGCATGCCTTTTGTTTTGTTTTTTTTTTACATGAACTGTGTTGAGTTATTTTTATTAGCATTTAATTGGTGTCCCAGGTGGTAAATGTAACCTTTGTGAAAAACTAGATGTTTCTCTTCCAATGAGCAGTTTGGTTTATTTTCAGTAAGGAATGGCAAAGCCCCAGCACTGCTGACCACAAAGAACAGAAGAAGAAGGAGAAGCAGCGACTGGAGAAGGAGAAAAAAGAGCAAAAAGAAAGAGAGAAGAAGGAAAATGAAATGAAGAAGAAGTTCAAAGTAAGTCAGTCGTGTTACACAGGTTGATCATTTCTTCCCTCTAGTGGAGTTGTGTTTTCTCTAGTGTTTTTGTCATGGTCACAATTGTGGTCAATAAAAAGCAGGAAACTGCTTGAGGCTGTAAATAACAGCAATTTATGGAGATAAAATACTATCAAAAATGTTACAAATGCGTGTTTAATGTTTTGTCTGTAACAAGCGATTTGTGTGTGTGTGTCATGAGGATCACAAATACATGCTGTACAAACTGCACATAAAACACATTTTGCAAATGCTTAAAATCGATTTTTTTGTGTGCAGTTCTTTAGAAAGTACGTACACATTGTTACCTACGCATGCGTGGATCGTCTAACACACACGAATCACTTTCCACGCACACATGGATTTTTGAGTGTTTTTCCGCACACTCAAAAGTCCACAATCCACGAATGCACGGTGCGTTTAATGACACGTGGAAAACTCAGACATCCGAGTTTCCAAACCTGTTTCCCAAACAAAAGTATTTACACAACGCTATTCCAAATGGACGCATTTGTGATCCTCATGACACAGACACAAATTGCTTGTTACAGACAAAACGTTAAACACGCATTTGTAACATTTTTGATAGTATTTTATCTCCATAGCAATTCCCCTGTTTAGAATTGTTCTAAAATCACTGTAAACCTTTCATTTCTTAAAATTTTAGGTGACTGGTGATGAGGAGCCTTTGTACCATGCCAGGGTGGTGATGGCCAGTAAAGTCCGAAAGCATGACCTACCTGTGAAGAACGGAGACACGGTCAGCATTATCCGCACCACCAACTGCCCCAAAGGCAAATGGCTGGCTCGGGATGCCAGCCACAGATGTGAGTGTAGACTTGCAGAATATTGATTTATTTTCATGTGGTCACTCAGTAGTGATGTGCAGGTGAAGCCTTATGAAGCTTTTGGGCCTTTTTTCTCTTTGTTCAGAAAAAGATGCATAGCTTCTCTAATTTTCAGTAAAAATGGGACTTGAGAATAGAAAGCAAGAAAATCACTGGTTGCTTATATCAGCCTATTTCACAAGATTAGATGTGGACTTACAGAACCATGTAATGATTCCACCTGAAATTCAGTCATGGGAGTAACAGGACTTCTTAATATGTTGTCTGCATCTCACTGTTTTTAGTTACTGCTCTTTCTTGGCTTTGTGCAGATGGTTATATTTCAGTCATGAATGTGGAGCTAAATATCAAGGAGATGCTGGAACTTGGTAAGAAAGCCAAAGCAGCAGGACGAGGAGGCAACTTGGAGGGAGATACCATCAGCATTGGGAGCAGGTACTGGGTAGTTCACTGGTGAAATGATTTACTGTGCATCAGTTATTACTTATAACTCTCCTTTGTTTTGCAGATCCTCTAACCACCCTGTCTTAACAAGTAGCTGTAAGTGTTAATAGCCTCTACACAAAGACTACATGCACGGTCACCTCTAACTCACTAATTGCGTTTTTCCATCCGCTCGGGTCTGCCTGCTTCTATCAAGCCGAGCTGCAAGGGTACGCTTTGGCCTCTGTTTCCATCTGTTCCTAGCAGCAGGGGGTAATCGTGCTGACTCAGGTTCAGCCGAGGGGCCCTTTAGTGGAGTCGGCTCATTGAGACACATGATTGGGTGCTTTGAGGGAACGTCCTTACATTCAGCAACAGTCACTTTTTGTCCATAGTATAATTGCAGCAAGATCTGATAATGCACTCTTTCACTTGGTCTTCTGATGAGGGGTTAAAATAATGCCTAGCATCATGGGCTCCACGCTGCAAGCTAGTAACACCATACAGACACCGTAAGATGTGCTCGCGCCGACCTCACGTGATCAAGATGCGGAAGATAAACACTGCCTTTTACAGTGCAGTGGAAGCCAAACTGCGCCGACTCTGGGGCAGCTCAGCATGAACGCCTTGACAGGAGAGGTCAAAAAAGGCCATAAGTGTTGAGTTAACTACTGTGTCTCAGAGAGCCCTGCAGCCTAATAATTACAGAACACAAAAGGTAACTGATTGATGTAATGTATGGACTTACTGGCTGACAGAGTACAGTTGCTCTGAGATTGGAAACCAGTTCAAAGACCTGATTTGAAAAACAAAACTAGTCGTCATCTGCTTGACAGCCATGTGTTTTTTATGACTGCAAAGGAATTCCATGTAAGCTACAGGTTTTTGCTGCTACCCTGCCAAACGTCTTTCACTAGCAAGCACACTGGGCTTTATCAAACTGGTTTTCCCTCCGCAGTCACAGATGACAGTGAGGAGTGGTCCTGCGAAGATGAGGATCTCTCCCTCTTCACTGAAAGCCAGTAAGACTGACAACTGTCTGTCCTTTTTCTGTGGTTCAGTGTTGCCTTTAGATTTGTAAGAAGAATTTCAGAAACCATTAACTTAATAGTTTTAAGTCATTTTCTCTGAAAGTTGTTATTGAATTGGTGTTACACATGGTGTATAATTATTTTTCTTTTCATTTTGCAAAGCAGCCTTCCCCAGCAGAACTCGACCATATCTGAGACGTGTGAGTACAAGTTATATCCAGTCTTGAAATAAAAACACGAGGAAAGAAGCCCCCCCCCCCACCCTTCTGAGCCTTCTGGTTTAAAGGAAAATGCAAGCTCTGCTTCTGGTTGTTTTATGTTGTGCGCTGACATATGGCAGACTATTATGCCTTTGATGTGCACTTTTACCAGGCCGTTTTCTTGCGTGCTCCCTCCTCTGTCTCGCTGTCATTAAATAACTGACCCCCCCATCCTTTCCTCATTCACCCACCTCTGCCTTTCATGTGTTCACTTTGACAGGTTGCGGCCTTGTCAATGCCCAGCAGAATATGAGCAATGCCGGCGGGGAGGACTTGCACACACAGTAAGTGTCAGACACAGGAATTAGAGCAGATACCTTGGTACAGGTACATAAAGCTCTCTACATACTCAAGATGTTCCCTTTGCACATGTGAGGTGTGTGTGTGTGTGCATATTTTTACATCTTTTCATGAGTAATTTAATATTAAGGATGAGAATGAAGAAAAAAAATTTAGCAAGCTAAACAAACTGAAGCCATTTGGGTGGGCTGTAACATTTTAGGGGTTGTTTCTATTTGTGCCTTGATGGCAATAATGGAAGGGACTCACCAAACTAGGGCTACAACTAACTGTTGTCTTCATATTGTATTCATCTGTATGAAGTTTTCTCTTATCTATCATTAAGTTCTTCTATATGATGGGACTAATGGAAAAACAATGTCCCATAGCCTTAGAGGTGGCATTATGAATTTTTCTGTCCAACCAGCTGTCAGAGATATTCAGTGTACTATCATATACTGTCTAACTAAAACAAGGCCGACCAGTACATTTAGGCTGAAACAAGTAAATGTTTGATATGATTAATAATTTACCAAAATAACTCCCATTTGACCCCCAGAATAGTCAGAGCCTTGAAGCCATGTGGGTTAAAACAGATGTTCCCTTTTTGTTTCTTGCTTGTATCTGAAATAGGATATAATGATTGGTCAAATTAAACACACACACACACACTGGTAGCCTTTCTGCTTCTTTTTGGTACTGACCATTTTTGGGTTTGTCCCGTGATACTGGGAACGAATGTGGCCCCTCAAAGCCTCCATCATATGTTCTGTACTTGAATATAACTGCACTAAAGCATTCAGAAGGCACAGCTCAGGTCGTCTGTTTTAATGGTGGCTTCTATGTTTAGGCAAACCCAGAACCATGGTTACTGTGCCAATTCTGATGTTCTTCGCCTCGTGTAGGCCATTGATGAGAATAAAGATTTATGGCAGTAAAAGGACTGAAACAATATATTGTCTCCAACTTCTAGGACCAGCCATGAAGCCCTGCAGAAACTAGCCATCTTCTTTCAACACAACCAAAATGAAGTTGTTGACGATAGTGAAGGAGCAGCGCTCACAAAGTACAGTATTTTTTTTTTTTAATAATGTTGGACATTGTTGAAAGTTGTCTTGTTTAGGTTCACTAACATTGTCTGGGCAGTTATCTGTAATCTGTTTTTCACTTTATCCATTCTGTCCCATGCAAAGTGCTGAGCCATCAAGTAAGTGCACTAGGTTCAATGTGTTTTTCCATGACTCCTCTGTTGTCACCACTTGTCATTCTCACTGATAATGGTGAAGCTAATGGGAGAGCACTTACTATAAGGACATGACAGGCTAAACACTGGTTGACATCTTGATTGTAATGGAAAGTAACTTCTGAGGAACATTTATCTGTTTCAAGTAACCTGGAGAGATGAAGTTGGTGTTGGACATTTTGCAGAGACAGCAGTTCAAAGTAAATGTGACATCTGTATCTGCTTGTCTTTAACCAGCCTTTTTGGGTGCTGTGGAGGAGCCACCGTATCTGTAAGTGCTGACTGCTTTCCTTCCAATCCCCAGTGAAGCTCCGTTTGATCTCATTTTTATTAGCTGAGCACATGTATATTTTGCCAAAATGAGCACAGGCGGTACATACTTTGACATCCTCCTCATGAATTGTGATGTTCTGCTTTTGTATGACAGTGAAAAGGAGGTTGACTTCACCGAGCTGGAACTCCTTCCTCCCCCACCTCTATTCGCTGACCAGTTCTAACCCCAGCAGCGGCTTCAACAGGGAACATCACTGTGGAAAAACTTAAACTGCACAGGTTCCTGCCATTGAGACTAGTTTGCCATGTATTTGAAAATCATTGAACGTGCTAGAGTGGAGAAAAGTGAAAAAAGAGAAAAGCATTCTAATCATGATTTCACTTTTGTTTAGTGAGTTGTGCATATTGATGCATTTTCATTTCATGTTTTGCACTTTTTTTTTTCTTTGAAGTTGCTGTTAAGAGTAAATGGGAGCATAAATTGAATTATTGCAGTTTGTCCAAAGGAAAATGAAATGAAGTAGCAGACTGTTCACTTGTGGTGTGTGTGTTTGAATATGTTCTTTGAGTTTCAATTTCCTTTCATCACTGTTACATCTAATAAATATTTGTCACTGATTTATGCTTTTGATGACGTTTCTGTGACTTTATTTCTATTCTCAATGATGCAGCCTGCTGGAACAATAGTACCCAGTCCTGAGATGACTACCAGGTCATACTACTCTTGTCACAACGTCATACACAGTGCCACAGCTTGGCAGAGGTCCCTCATAGATTAAAACTAGTTGTTAGTTCACAGTTTATGTATATGAGAGAGTGAGTAATCTGGGGATTTTACTCTTATTTCCAGCTGGTGTTTTTCCCCAGGGAAAGTGTGTTTAAATAAAGAAAGTCATTCATGACCATTTGAAAAACTAACGAAAAATGGTGAAAACCATACAACAGAATGTATAAAAGACCGAATGTATGGACCAGACGGTGGAAAACCCCCCCTCTCGGTTGTCTGGCTGACTCGTCGCTTTGTGAAACCCCCTTGTGTCTGGGTTGTGTTGTAAGCATCCCTCCTCACTGGGGGGGTGAGCGAAGGAGCTCATGGCATTAATTAATAAGGGAGGAGCTGAAGGGGGAGGGGCTTTGTTGGAAGGCTGTCTCAGGCTCCCACCTCCCCCATGGAAAGGAGTTGAAGGGTCCGAAGAAAGTGTCGCTACTCGGAGCGACGGTGCCAGGGTCTGGAAGTTCAGCAGAGTAAGAATACAGGCGGTACATCGCTGGGTGTCTGTAGTAAAAGTTAAGGTAGACGGAGCTTTGCGATAGTGACAAGGTTTTTATCCCGTTTTGTTTGAAGCACATATAAGGTTTTAAATGCAGCGCTGTTTGATATATGAGAAAACGAGGCCAGCCGAGACGAGGAACGGCGGGAGTTCACTGAACAACAAGACCTGCAAAGACCACGGCAGGAGAAAGCTGCTGGTCGGAGTGGACTTCTTCTGTTTGTTTCTAGGTAAGGTTCCTGCTGCAGCCTGCCCTTATGGCATTTATCACAGTGAATTAATGGCTTGTTAAACCTTCATTTTGTTCAATTGTAGTAGCATTCTTTAAACTAATGTGTTCAAGATGAGTTGAACTAACCCTAGGCTTCTTTTTTTTTTTAAATGACTATGATATTTCCTATAATTAACTGTATTTGTAACATTTAAAAGTTGTACTATATTATAATACTGATATTTAGAACACAATCACTCTTCTACCAGTACTGTCCTGACAGCTAACCTAAAGCCAAACAGTGGGGTCACTTAAAATTAATTTGACTTCATTGAAACTATTAATATGATAATGAAAAAACAAATACCTTTGAACTGTTGTATCTAAATACTTTTATTAGTTTAAGGGTAAATGTTTCAGCTACACCAACTGGACAAGCTGTGTTGCTTAAGCAACAAGTGATGCCACTGGCAACTTCAGCTGTAATAGATATAACATGACTGACTTAGCTATGGGAACACTGTTTTCATCAGCCCAGAAATGTGCTAGCAAAGGGGAAACTATAATGAATTGCTCTAGGAGGGATGTTTTTCTTTGGTGCCCACCCACACCTGTACCTCTGCTTTGACTGCTCATTATATTTGCCAGGATGGCTGACATTCCTCACTGGTAGGAATTCTCTTGATCTCAACATCTGGCATAATGTATAATGTGTGTGGAGTAATTAAGGGAAATAGTGAAAAGGTCAGACCTTAGTGTGAGTGCATGTTCATTCAGCACCAGTCCTGTGATGTTCAACAGCTGCAGACCCTTGGTTAAGTTTGTTGTTGTGGATGAAAGCTTTTCTCACACTCAAGGTGGAACTTAAGGGTCCTGAAAAAGGTCTGCCGCTCTCCTCAGGTCTCAAGCCTTCCACTGATGAATGATTTCACACATTGTGTTTTTCTTCTGTAATAAAATTGTACGTTTCCAATGTGGTGTTCTGTGAAACACTGGTGTAGTGTCATGATCGCAGCGAAGCAACATTATAGAAAATAAAAGTATTGCAACTGCATGGGGAAAGCAGCAGTCCAGCGATTGTTTCAAATGTTCCAGCATAAACGGTGTTTTTCTGAGAAGCTATGTTTAGTTTTAGGCTTGGTTTTGTGTCTGCGAAGGGCAAATGCCCATGTTTTCCTCAGTGTGTACTCTATGTATCAGCAGTGTTTTTCTGGCTGAAGATGTGGTTTAAAGCCAGCACCCACAAGGAGGAAATGGTGGGCCAGTACTGCAATCACTACTCCTCCATTCTCACGTTGTACTTCTCTTATCACTGTATCCAGGGATATCCATCTCCTGCTCTCTCATGCGTATGAACCATCTCCAGTCACTGTGACCCCAGTAGAACATCAGTGTCCGTAAAGATAACATTGGTCTATAGGCTGGAGGAGAACTTAACCCTGATGCAGAGGTGTTCTAACTAAATCCTGTCAAATAATGCTGAGGAAGGAGGTGACCAGGTTCAATTTATGTTAAGCCGTAGCAGGTGGTTTTCATGTTTTAATTGTCTTATAATGTTTCCATGTGCTCCTGGCCTGTTTTAGCCCTGATTTGCACCTATATTTTTTGGTTTTGTAAAAACATGTTGACTTAGGAAATCAGGAAAATAAAAATGAAAGTAGTGGTAACTTCTTTTTTTAAAGGCTTTGCTCACCAAACTCTCTGCATCCCTACTCCCCTAAAATGTTTTTTTATGTGGGTGGTATTTAATGGCCAGTTGTAGTTAGTTATGTAGGGGGTAGTGCTGGAATTCTCATTGGCAAGTATCCCATAACCTCAGCAAGTAAAATGAAAACTTCAAGTAGCTACATTTTTGTTACTGGGTTGACCTGACCCTTTAAAAATAATAAACATTAGCTTGATGTGTAAGACAGATTCAGTATATACTAAAAAGGGAGTGAAGTTCAGTTGAATTGACCCTTCTTGTATATATGATGTTCTCAGTTTGGACTGAATTATGTCTGTGTAAAAGAGGATAATGCATTTGTGTAGTTCATGTATACAGTACATACAGTACATGCTATAGACGGGCACAAAGTATCAGTGTTTTAGCCACAAGCAATTCAGTGCAAATGCAGTTTTGTTGAACCCACCAAGCAGACCTGGTTCCCCTTTCACATTGGTACTGTGAACAAATTTTTGCACAAAGCCAGACAGACAGACAGAGAACAGGTTGTATAAAGGCTGCAACTACATCTATGTCTACACCACAACTACCTCAGCGATGTACACATTTCTACACCAGACAGTGAGAGAACCCTGCAAGTGGAAAATGTGTCTGTTTATTTTAACAGTTACACTTGGTGCTTTGGCCAATGTATCCAAAATATGGCAGGGGTTTAATTCAGTGTGAGGGTTAGACACTGTTTCTAGTTTCCACAAAGATGCGTATTTTGAACAGAGACAGACCTCAGTTGTGTGCTGAAAAAGTCATCATCATTCTTCATTTGCGATGTTTGCTTGTTTTCGTTTAGGGCTCCCTAGTTGATTATTAGGTAAACTGCTTTAGGGCAAGACTGAATAGAAGGCACCTGTTCACGTTAAAAACTGAAAAATCACTCTGACCATTTTGCTTGTCTCTGTTGACTTCAGGTTCATGTTGAGCTAATGCAAAAGGCATACCCACGCTAGCTGACTGATGTTGTTGTTGGCAGAATGATGACTCCTCCTTGCCCCCCACCCCGGGCTTGTAGAAGCGGGAAGGGAGGAAAAGGGTAGGAGGGGAAAGTCCCAAGATGCGGTACACAATGCTGATGCTGCAGCGTTTAGATAGGTGGACGGGGTCAGAGAACTAAGTGGAGGGGAAAAAAGACCCAGCTCAATGTCTGGAAAACAAGACCTGACAGCGTCTCGTGTTTTTTTTTCCATCATTCCCATCAGCTGTTTGAGGCACTTGACCCTGCGCTGTGGACAGTTTATTTCATCAACCCATTTGCCACTTCTGTTTCTCTCTCTATCAGTCCCTTCTGCCTCTGGTCTTGTGGTTAGCACTGGGTCTGTGAGCGTGTGCGCGTGCTGAGGTGCGGTTACTGTGGTGTTCTTTTTTTTTTTTTTTTTTTTTTTGGCACTGCTATATAAGTCGCTGTGAATGTGTTTTAGTAAGGACTGTGTGGTTCAGTACATGGCCAGGCCAAACAAACTAAAAGATCAGAAATTCAGGATTTAAAGAACAGTATATTTTTACAGCTCCTTCTTTTGCCACCTGACCTGCCTCAGCCTCGTTCAGTTGTTTGTTTTAAAAATTAAAATGAGAGTGAATAATATGCGTCCTGCTCAGTGTGGAGGGAAGGCCGGTGTTCAGGCCGCACAGCTCCGTCTGCAACCTGAGCTCAGCCCAGCTGGACCTTCAAAGGGCAAAGTCAGCTGTGTGTGTGTGTGTGTGGATGTAAGGGGTTGAGGGGCTCAGCAGCAATTGAAGTGTGTGTTGACATTTGGTCTGAGATATCATTCCACCACCACCGCAGATCCACCTTCAGCAACTCTCTGCACCCTGCTACATTTTAGCTTTTTGAGGCTAGACAGAGGAAGAGAGCATGCGAGTTTGTTTTTCTTTGTATTGGCCGAATGCAGAATTATTCAAAGAGTGGCTTGAAAGCTACAGAATCAGTTAAATGGCTCTTTGAAGTGATTTGAAAGTGTATTTTCCAAATTCTGTCAGAGACTTGAGGCCTCTCCCAGGTACCACATCCGCGCTCAGATTTCAAAGTCTTCCTCTGAAGCCTTTGGTAAATGAGGAAAATAAGCCATCTTTTGTTGCCCACAGCTTAGTTTCTCCCACTTTATGTTTGTTGTCAGGTGGTAAATAAGATGTTTT